GGGTCCGTGAGGGCCTCGAGCCCCAGCCCACAGGTGGCCACTTGCAAGCTGCCCACCCCTGTGGGGAGGGCCTGGCAACCCCCACCCGACCCCTCTGCCCCAGAGCCGTGCCCCTGCCCGCGGCTGTGCGCAGGGGGGCGCCCGGCCAGCGGTGGAGACTGAGGTTGCTGTCCTGCTCCTGCAGTGCAGGTCCCGTGGCCGTGGCCGGCCAGTGGCCACTCCTGCTGCTGGCACCCCCCGGGCAGGTGTGGGGTTGCTGGACGCGTGTGTGAGGAACGGGAGCCGGAGCCGGGCCCCGAGCACGCGCTCGCCGAGGAGGGGCTGCCCGTTCCGGGCCTTGGGGCGGTCTTGGGCCAAGGCCACGGGCCACTGGCTGCTCCCCACCCCCCTCCCGGGGAGCTGTTGACGGCTGGGGGACCAGGTGGGGTCAGAGACCAGGAGACCACCGGAGGCGGGGAAGGGGCGACAGGCCTCTGCCCAGAGTGCCCTGGGCCCCTCGGGGGTGCAGGCGTGGAAGCCGTGTGCTGGGGTCCTGCGGGGCCCACACAGGCACCACTGCCCGGGATGCTGGCAAGTGACCACGTCCCTTCCGTCCAAAGCCGGCCCCTCCCCACAGCCCCCCAGCCCCGCCCTGTGCCCTGGGGGGACGCTGCGGCTCTGAGCTGGGCTCTGGATGTCCGGAGGACTGGAAAGGTGGGAGCCGCCTCCGCCCAGGGGGGCAGCCAGGACCTGCCCGGGCGAGGCGTCTCCTCACCCCGAGGCGCCCACCGGCTCCGCCCAGGGCCACAAGCAGGCCGAGGCCGGGAGCAGCTGCGTCAGCCTCACGGCTCCGGTCCCCTCTGCTGGGGATGAGGGCTGGGACCAGGAGGTTTTAGCAAAAGGCAGTGTCTCTGGGGGACCACAGGACCAGCACAGGGCGCCCCCACCCCCCGGAGCCCGAACCCCACCTGCAGCCTCCTGACGCAGAAGGGGCCTTCCCCACGGCCTTCGAGCCCTCCCCCCCATCCCTGAGGACAGCAACATGCAGCCTGCGGAATGCAGGGGCGCGCCCAGGGGTCCTCTGGCGGGAGGGAGCAGCGGGCAGGGAGGCACAGGGCTGGGCCCCGGGGCCTGAGGAGGCTCCCGAGGCGGCGAGGGGCAGGGGCACTTCCTGGCGGAGAAGCCAGCCCAGCCCCTGCCGGCCGAGCGAGGCCACGGCCACGGGGAGCCCCCACACCCACCATCAGTAAAAGGCTTCAAGCCCCTGCAGGTGAACTGCGTCGGCGTCCGCTCTGGCCCTGGCCGAGGCGCCGGGTCGGTGTGTAACAGGGTGGTCCCCAGGAAAGGGGGAGGTTCCCTGCCCCACCCAAGGAAGGGTGGAGCTGAGTAGGAAGAGGAGAAGCTGAAGAAGAGACTGAGGAAGGAAGCAGGATGGAGCCAGAAGGAGACCTGGAGGAGGCGCATGGAGCCTAGAGACACGTGAAGAAACTGCTTGTCTTTTGGTCGTAGACTGGGTGACACAGATGTGGGTGAGACCCGTGGGGAGGTGACCATGGCAGCTTTTATCTTGATGTTGATTTTGCTCTTTTCCTTCCGGGCTTGTCCGGTTGTTTGTGACCCTTTTCTGTGGGTCCCCACTGGAAGATGCTTTAGACTTGTGGCAGGCTTTGGGCCTTGTTCTGGGCCGATCCCATATGGATGGAGTTTTACCCACGAGGGGACGGGTAACTCTGGATGCTTCATTTAGAAACTAGACTCTTTGCCTTACCTGTATTGTTTCCTAGTTTTATTAAAGTTCCTTCCCATTAAAGTCTCATGTTTTGTGTTGATGCGGCGGATGGCAGAACCCATTTAGAATAGGCAGGTTTGCGGGTTTGGGCTGCCCCTCTCCCTGTCCTATAACAGGTGGAGAGCGGCTTCCCTGGGACTCGGGGGTGAGGCAGCCCCGGTGGGTGCAGGGCTGCGGGGCTGGGGGTCCACACCGGCCTGCAGCCTCGCCGGCCTGGCCTTTCACCGGGTGCTGGCTCCGGGCCCAGGTCCAGCCGCTGCACCAGGCCAGGCCTGCCCTCCAGCCCACGGTGCCACGGGCCCACGGGCCTTCCCGGCGAGGTCAGGAGCATGCAGCGCATACGGCCCGGGAGGGAGAGACCGGCCGCGAACGGCTGCGGCTTTTATAAATTGCCCCAAACTTGGTGACTGCAAACTGCACCACGTGACCCCGAAGAAAGGGAGGCTCAGCAGGGGGTGGGGGGCAGCTGGAAGCGGCCGGGGGGTGCCGGGGAGGCCCATGTTGCAGAGGCATGAAGAAGCCACCGCCTCCGGCCTGGGCGAGCGCCAGGAGCTCGGGGACAGGAGATGATTGCGGGAGACAGACACGCGGCCGTGACCTCCCAGCCCTGCCTGGCCCCTCCTGCCCCCGTCCTGTGGGTCCCCCAGAAGGTGCCTTAGACTTGGGGGAAGCTTCCGGGCCTCAGCGGCCCAGCTTTGGGCCAACGCTGTTTGGCGGGACACTGACCCACGAGGGGACGGGCGGCCGGGGTCCCGGGGACCTGTTTCAGCTGCTCTTTGTTGCACACGATGGTGGCCAAGTCCCGTGTTACAGGCCTCGCAGCCTTTCTGCGGCGGCCAGCAGAACCCGTGGAGAGCAGGCAGATTTGGGGTCGGGGTGCCCCTCCCCTGCCCGCTACCACCACCCACCCCCAGTGTCTGGCTCAGAAGCCAGGTGCGGGGGAGCTGGTGCCCCGGCCGGGTCCCGGCGGGACGCGCTCAGTCAGGCCCACGGCAGACGCGCGGCTGGACGCGGGGGGCGCCTCCGTGTCCCGTGCGCCGCAGGCTCCGCAGGGGCGGGGGCTCTGGACCGCACAGCACTTTGAACCCACTGCCCCACCAGGAGCCGGGGCCCTGCGCCTGCCCGCCGGCCCGGCCCCCGCCGCCAGCACCCCCGCCCCACCTGAGACAGGCCCGAGCCTGCCGCCTCCCGCTGAGGCTGAGCCCCAAACACACGCGCAGCCGCGAGCGCCCCCAGACGGGCGGGCGACGGGCAGGAGAGGAGCAGCTGCAGGACAAGCTGGGCCCGGGGAGCAGCACCCCCGGGAGGACACCGCCCCGGCGCCTCACACGCGGCACCTGGGTGCTTCTGCCAGCCGCCTCGTCTGCGCCATCCCTGAAAGGGGCGCCGTGCGGGGTGCTGAGGAGACCCAGCCCTGCCCGGCCCAGGCGGCTCCCCGCCCTCCAGACTGCCGCGGGTGAGAGGAGGGGTGCAGGCAGGGGCGGGGCGGGGCTCTGGGGGTGGGAGGCCCCTGGCACCCCAGCCCCAGCCCCGGCTTCCCCCCGCAGCCGTGCAGAGGCCACAGCGGCCACCGGCGCCTGCGAGCCCCCCCCCCCTTCCTTCCACACCCCCCGCAGCTCGGCGCCCTGCTCGCGGCCTCTGCTCTGCGCAGCGGAGCTTCTCATCTGAAGCCCGGCTCCGGCTCCGGGTGCTGGCCGGGTAATGAGCGCAGCGAGGGCTCCGCCCAGCTGCCCCCGCAGCAGGGGACCCCAACCCCCAGGGGCCACCCCCCAATCCGGGAAGGGCCCCGCTACCTGGGGGAGCCGCCCTTGCCTGCTCCTGAGCCAGCAGGGGGCAGACGGGGCTGGCCACAGCACCAGGCAAAGTCCCCCTGGGGGGCACCGCGGCGGGGGCAGCCGCTCCCCTGCCCCGGGGTCTCCCGGCGGCACCATCACGGTCCTGGCGCAGGCCACACACGCACCTGGGCTTTATTGACAGTCACGTTCACAGCAGCCCGGAGACCCGTGCGCCACACGCCACGGCCACGAAGCAGGCTGCGTGCGAGGCGGTGGGGCGGACGGGGCTGGGCGGGGCGGCCGGCCCGGGGGCGGGGGCGGCTCCAGGCGCTGGGCCCTTCCAGGCGGCCTCAGCGCGGGGCAGCGGGACGCCCCCCCAGGCCGCCGTTCCAGAGGGGGCCGGCTGCCCATCTCCGCTGGCCCACGCGAGTCTGCAGCGCGGAGGGGGCCTGGGCGACCCCTGGGAGCCCCGACCTCAGCCCTGCACGGAGCCGTCTGGCCTGAAGGCCCCGGGCCCCCGGCCCTGTTCCGCTGGGCCGCTGCCTGCCTTCCCCGCTGAGAGGACGGCTTCAGAACTGCCAGCCACCCGCGCCAGCCAGCGTCAGCAGGAAGGCGTGAACCCCAAGGTTCCCGAGAGGGGAGCGGAGGACGCCACCAAGGTTGGGGCCAACAGCGAGAGCCCCCCAGGCTCCTCTGCTTCCCACGCGGCCCCTGAGCATCGCCCCCGCCCCCACCCGGCTTTCAGGCCCACCCAGCGCTCTGCCCCGTCCTGCCCCGCACCTGCAGTCCCCGCTCGCTGGGGACCGGCCCCGGCCAGCCATGTCCTCCAGCCCGGCAGGAGGAGCCTCGTGGCTCCGCGAGGGTGAAGAGCACCTCGTCCGGGCAACGGGGGCGGGGGACGCGGTCACGCCCGCGTGTGGACAGCTGCCCATCTCCAGCAGGGCTCACTGGCTGCGGGAGGGGCCTGCTGCCGGGTCGTCCGCGCCCCGAGTCTGGCGCCACAGGGAGGCGCGCCCAGGCGCAGACGAGGGTGTCCTGGCAGCTGGGGATGGAGGCGGGGCCGGGGGGCTCTTCCCGGGTGTGCTTCCCTGAAAGCCTGGCGCTCCTGGCGCTGTCCCCGTGCTCAGGAGCCTCGCTCTGCTGGGAGGACCGACGTCTGCACGCCCAGGCCCTGGCCAGGCATGTCCGGAGGAGGCCGGAGACAGCGCGGGCTGGGCGGGCTCCCATGCACGCGGCCTCCTCAGCACGGAGCCCCTGACACTCAGTCTGGCTGCAGCCCCTTTAGGGGTGCACGGCGGCAGGCTGGGGACAGGGCAGCTGCCGGGGTGGGGGTGACCGTGCACCCACCGGGGCTGCTCTGTCCCAGGCCCGCACCCTCGGGGGCCCTCACAGGAGCTGGGGCGGCCTTTCTGTCGCCACACCTGGCTCCGCTGGACGCAGCCCCGCCCCCGCAGCCCCTAGTCCATGGTCACGACGGGCTCCACGGCTGACAAGTCCGTCTTCCCGGACTGGGCGTGGGCGGCGGGCAGGAGCTGGTCGGCCAGCGGGGCCCCGCGGCTGCGGCTCTTCTCGGGCCAGGCCACCCTGAAGGAGGGGCCGGGGGCGGGCGGCGGCTCCCTGCGGGGGCTGGGCGGCCTCTGGCACACGCTCAGCAGCGCCTTGAGCTCCCCCGGAAGCTCTCGTTGAGCCAGCAGTAGATGAAGGGGTTGTAGCAGGTGCTGCTCATGGCGAGCCAGTGGAAGGCGAAGTAGAGGGCGTTGTTGGTGCGGATGGCCCGGCTGGACAGCAGCAGGACGTAGCAGTTGAGGGGGAACCAGCAGAGGGCGAAGAGCACCACCACCAGCACCAGCATCTTGACGGTGGTCTTCCTCTTGCGCCGCAGGGCCAGGTACTGTGCCGTGGTCACGTCGCCGATGGTGTTGCACAGCCACAGCTTCTTGGCCACCCGGGCGTAGGCCACGGAGATGACCAGCAGGGGCAGGAGGTAGAGCAGGACGAAGGTGGCCAGGTCCAGGTACTTCCAGAAGAGGTCGGCGGGCTCGGGGAAGTCGGGCAGGCACAGGGAGCGGACGACGTCCTCGCTGGCAGGGACGGGAAGGGGGTGAGTGCGCGCGCCAGCCCGGCCTCCCTGGGCTCCCGCTGCGTGTTCTCCAGCTGCCGCCCGCGTTTCGGGCCCGGCCCCGCTGGGAGCTCTATGAGGACACGGAATACAGCCGGGCCCTGCGCCCCCAGCCCGCGGCTTCCCCAACCCCATGCAGAGCCCCGATCAGCAGCAGCTCGAGAACGTGCGGGCCCTGGCGAGCTGGTCTGAGCGCGAACTTGTCCCCGGGGGATCTGGGAGGCTCCCCTGGGCGAGCGACTGTGCCCATCCCAGGTGGCCGCGGGGTGGCGCAGGGGTGGCCTGAGGCTGAGTGGCCCACGGACACACCTTCGGTTGCTCAGAGCCGTGTGTATTCTCCAGGGCGCCCCCAGTGCCCCTCAAGCTCTCTGGGGACCCCACACGGTGTGCTGCCTGGGTGACATGTGCTGTGGCCACGAGCGGGGGCGGCTCTCTGCGTCTGTTGGCAGGAAGGACGGGTCCCCCGTGCGCGCAGGCAGGCAGGGGCCTGACCCATCCCACAGCCTGGCGCTGCTAAGGGACCCTGAGTGGTCAGGGCACCCAGGGTGTGTGAGACAGGGCATCTGCGCAGGACACGCCGCCGCGCCTCCGGGCACCCGGGTCCTCTACCAGCCAAGAACGTAAGGCTCCTGGCCCCGCCCTGCCGTGAGGGTCAGTGGCACCCGCGGCCTGGCTGCCTTGGACGCCGGCAGCTCTCCTCACCCTACAGAGCCACGGGGGAGTTGCCTTGAAGGCGACTGTGGCACACGGAGGGCTCCATGCTCAAAACCCAGTGCTGCCCTGAGAGACTCTCCCGCTGAGACCCAGCAGCGCTCTGCGTGGGGAGGCCGGGTCTGGGGAGACCCTCGCCAGCAGCACTGCAGACACGTCCAGGTGGTCCAGTCTCGGCTGCACGAGCACGTGCCGTGGGGACAAGTCGCTGCCGCGACCTTGCAGACCAACTGGACAGAGGACAAGGAGGGCGCCGAGGCTCTCACAGACGGGAACGCGGGCGCACTGCGGGCGCCTGAGGCCGAGTGGCCGGGCAGGGTGGGGCAGGGACCACCCGGGGCCCCGAGACCAGGCTCCCGGCTCAGCTCACCTGTACTTGAAGGTAAACAGCTTCTGGCAGATGGCGTGAGGCAGCGAGAAGAACGTGGCCATGGCCCAGATGACCGCCACGCAGACGAGGCCCTTCGTGATGGAGATGCGGGGCCGCAGCGGGTGCATGATGACCTGGAAGACAGGCCCCGGGCCCGGCCAGAGCGCGGGGTAGGCAGGCGCAGGAGGGTAAGGCAGGCGGGTCCTCCCCGTGCACACTGGCCCCGGGGTGCGCCAGCAGCTGAGGGCCCAGCTACGGCCCACCCCCGCCCACGCCGGCGTCTGTCCATCCCAGGGGGCCCTTCCCGCCTAGGAAGCCGCCGCGACGGTGCACTGCACCGGCCCTCACACCTGCGATGCAGCCGCGGGGAGGCTCTGGGCTGCAGGCCCCGCGGCACGGCTGCAGCATGTCAATCAGGCCGCCTCGCCTGCACGGAGGGCGGGCACCTCACAGCCTCCTCCTGTGTGAACTAGGGTCATTATTTCTGGGACAGGCCTTCGGGACAGCAGAGTGCAGCGTGGGGGGCAGAGGTCCTGAGAGCCCAGGACCCTCCCGGGACACAAGGGCTCCCTGGCTGCTCCCGGACTGTGTCTCTGCAGGTGGGAGGCAGAGACTGGGCTCTGGAAGCGGGTGCTCCGCTCTGGACAAGCCACTGCAGGGAAAGTGACGAAATCAGGCTTCTGAGCTCTGGCCTCCGCGGCCATCACCTGCGGCCTTGGTGGCGCTGGTGCGGGTGCCCGATGGCGGACACCTGGAGGTGGGTGGACGTGCGTGAGTGTGCACACCTGAGCCTGAGGCTGAGGCCCTAAGGCGGTGGTGCTCAGAGATGGACAGTGGCGACCAGAGGGTGAGGGGCTAAAGAAGAGGCAAGGCCACGAGCGAGCCCAGAGAAAGCGCTCCGGTTGCCTCCCGAGCCTCCCTGCTGCCCGCCTTGTGCCTGGCCTCCCCACTACAGCCGTCTGCGCCCCTCCTGTGCCTCCTTTGTTCAGATGCTGAGAGAGGGGAAGCCTGGGTCAGAGGTGCCGCATGTCACTCAGAACCCTGCTGCTGGGGACAGGCCCTCGCCTGGCACACGTCACAGCCCCCATCGCCGCGGGCAAACTCCTGCCGTTCCCCAGACCCGCTCTGCCCAGGGTCGGTCAGCTCTGTTAGCTGGTAAATGGGGGTCAGCCCTGTCTGGGAGAAGCAGCCCAGGGCCCCTCGTGTTGAAGTGGGGGGAAGTTAAGGAAGGCAGGAAACACCTGCAGGCCGACTGCACTCTGCACCAAGGCACCGCAACCTCAGTGTCCCAGTGGAGGCCTTTCAGGGTAAAGAAGCCCCCATGTGTGCGAGTCCAGGGCACCCCAGATGCGTGAGTCTCCCCTGAACATCCCCATTATGGTATCATCCAGACCTGCTCTGGCTGGAGACCTGACAGTGCCTGCCCACCTTCCTCCTGCTGCTCCCTCGCCTTGGTCCTCAGTGCCCCCCTGGGAGCTGCTCAGAATAAATTCTTCTCTCTTCCGTGAATGACCATGGACTTGTGGGAGCCCCGGGGTCTTCCCAGAGTAGGAGGCCTGGTGACCAGCGGCGTGACCCAGCGACCATGGTGGAGGTAGGCCCCTGCGCGCTGCCCCTAGCTTCACAGCTGCCTGAGTGCCTGGGCAGCACGGGCTGGCCCCAGGGGTGCTGGCCTTTCCAGAAGGGAACCCTCCAGCACATCCACCCTGAGCCCACACATACACCTCCTCCAAGTGTGCCGTGAGCCCTGCTCCAATTGGGCCCCCACCAGGGCCAGGGAACCAGTGCCCCAAACAAGATGCTGGGCTCCAGCCCCAGTAGCTGCCACACTCTGCACCTCTGACTTTCCAGGCGTCCCCCGCAAACACACACGGCAAATTCCCAGACAAATGCCGGGGGTGAGTCTTCAGGGGCTCAAACGGGGAACGGTTTCGGCACCCTGGACAGAGGCCGGCACGGGGGCTTCAGCACCCTGGACAGAGGCCGGCACGGCGGCCCCAGCACCCTGGACAGAGGCCGGCACGGCGGCCCCAGCACCCTGGACAGCGGCCGACCCGGTCCGCGCGCTCCCCTCCGCCGAGCAGACCCTCCGCTCACTGCCCGCGCGCGCGGCCTGCAGCAGGCCCTGCCGGCGCCCCGCCCAGGGAAGGCCAAGGCGGAGGGGAGGGCGGGAGGCCTCACCTGGTGGCGGTCCACAGCGATGGCCGTCAGGGTCAGCGCCGAGACGTGCAGGGAGCAGTACTGGGCGAAGCGGCTGACGTGGCACATGGCCTTCCCAAACACCCAGGTGCTGTTCACAAAGCGGACCTGCGGGCGACCCGCAGGGCTCAGGAGACCGTGAGGCTCGGCCCCATCTCTCCCCACCTGCGCCGTCTGGGGAGACCCCAGAGGCCTCCTTCAGCCTCACCCTCTCCCCGCGGCGCCGCCAACAGGGCCACATGTGCTCGTGCCCAGCGGGACGTGTTTGCCGCGACTCAGCTCACGGCCCTGATCTGCCGTGGCGGCGCCTGGAGGTGCCGGCAGCGTGGGGGGGCTGTGGAGGCAACTTCCCGTGGCTGGTATTTTCAAGCTGTGCGGCCTTGGGCAGCTGCATAAACTCTCTGAACCTGTTTTCCCATTTGTGAAAGAAACAACGGCTTAAAAACCCCGGCTTTGCAGGTTTATTGTAAAGATTACATTTTTAAAAGTATCTAGAGGGTGAAATACGTCTGGCAGGTTGCTGGAGATATTACTGGAAATGGAGTAGCTATTTTCATGCAAATAAAAGTCATTTGTGGCCAGTGGGATTTCAGTCTAACGGGGGAGAGACACTGAAAAGTCACAACATGGCGTGTGGGTGGCGCTGGCACCTGTGGGTGCTGGGGAGGCCCAGAGAGGCGAGGGCAGGGCCAGGGTGGGAGGCAGAGAAGCCAGGCCTGGGGGCAGTGTGGCCGAGCGCAGCCCCAGCCGAGGCCCCATCACGGGGCTCTGCCCACTGCCTGCTGCTGTCCCGGCCCCTCCCCCGTGGCTGGCCCCTTGGAAGCGCCCACAACTTCGGCTGCTCTGGACTGTCATGAAGCAGGGGCTGGGCTCTTGGCACCGTGAGGCGTCCTCTAGGGCGGGGGTTGCCATGCTCCCTGCAGCCAGGGGCTGGGGCCCTCCTCACCACCCGCCCATGTCTGCTCCTGAGCATCAGACACCACGTCTTCCGGCTCCGCGCCGAGTGGCCGGGCCAAGGTTAGGACGGAGGCGGGGCGCGGCGGGGCGCCGGAGAGGCCTCCAGGGCTGCAAGGCGGCAGAGCAGTGTTTGGGGCCCTGTGCCCGAGCCCGGAGCTTCCTGCACATCCCAGAACCGTCTGGACGTGCGCTGGGGGAGAGAGGCGCCGTGGTATGGAGCCATGAGGCCCAGCGTGGGTCAAGCGCGCCCCACTCCCCGCTGCCCCGGGGGCTGGGCGGGCGGACCTCTGGGCGTGAGGGATTCCCATCCTGGCCGCGGCCACCGGCGAGGGCCCGCTCAAGGGACGGCCTCTCGGGGACCCGGATGCTGCAAGAAGTGAGTGACGCTCCCGGGAGGGAGGACAACGGGGCGTTTTGAAGGTGAGGGGACAGGTGCGCACCAGGGAGCTGGGGGGCTCCACCCCTCCTCCTGAGTGTGTGTGTGCGAGTGTGTGCGAGTGTGTGCGCAAGGAGGCCCGAGACAGACACTGCACTGGGACTCAAACAACGAGGTTAGTCCATAAATTGAAGAAATGCAACCCAGAGGGAGCCACAGGAGCAGCTGTCACCACGAGCTGAGTCAGCCCTCGGGGCCCAGGCCCCGGCGCACCCACCGTCCCATCCAGAGGGACAGGAACCAGCACCGCGGCCCCTCCTGAGACGGAGGTCCCACCGCCCCGGCCTGCCCAGCCCGCGTCACACATCTGGCCCCGGGCCCCGGCGCAGGGGGCAGGACCAGGACGGGGTGGAGAGGCGCCGAAGGGCCCATCCGGCAGGAACGCTTGGCGTGCCAGCCACGGCGCGGGGGCGGGGGGGGGGGGCTGCACTTGAGCCAAGGCCCGGCCGCCTCCACTGGCGTCTCAAGGGCTCCCACTTCCTGCTCCATGTGCAAGAGCCCCGTCCAGAGCCGCCTCCCTGCACCCGGGCAGCACCCAGAGCCGGGCAGGGGGGAGCGGGAGAGGCAGGATCACAGAAAAACAAACCTCCGGGGCCGGGGGCTGGGGGGTGTCGGGGTGGGGGAGACCCAGACACAGGCAGACACAGGCTGTCGGGCTGTCGGGCTGTCGGGAGGCCTGGGGCCGAAACCCAGAGGGCAGAGCGGAGACGGGAGGGCTCCGGGCTGGGCGGGAGCGGGAAGGGCCCGAGGCGGGGGCAGAGGGGGGAGGAGGAGGAGGCGGGGCGGGAGGGGGCAGGGCAGGGGCTCACCAGGGTGAAGGGCGTGTTGAGCAGGGTGATGAGGATGTCGGCCACGGCCAGGTTGACGATGAAGAGGCTGGTGGCCGAGTGCAGGCGCCGGCTCTTGCCGATGACATGACAGACCAGCGCGTTGCCGAAGACGGAGCAGACGATGATGAGGGCGTAGGCCACGGTCAGCAGCGCCTTCACCGCGGGGTTCTGGGACTCGGCCCCGTAGCGCCGCCGGCCCACGAAGTTCTGCCAGTCGGAGAAGGTGTAGTTGCTCCAGAAGAAGTGCGAGCCGTTGGGCAGGGAGGGCGCCCCCCGCGCCGCCTCGGGGTGCTCGGCCGCCTGCGCCAGGGGCCCGAGCAAGAGCAGCGCCAGGGGCAGGAGCATCTTGCAGCGCCCTGCGGGGCCACGCGGCGAGCAGCGCGGGGAGCGGGGAGCGGGCGCAGAGAGGGGGGCGGGTGGCAGCCGGGCAAGGGCCGAGGGCGGGAGGGGCTCGGGAGGGAGGCGCCGCCGTCAGGAGGACCCGCGCTCGCCCGCGGCTCCGGCCGGTCTCCGCACTTTTATGCCCCCGCTCCCGGCTGCCCGCCCGCGCCTCCGCCTATCGGGCCGCGGCGTCTCCGGCGGCGCCCGTGACGCGCGGCTCCGCAGCCAGCCCAGCCCAGCCCGGGCCGCCCAGAAGCCCTCGGCTCCGCGCGCGGGTCGGCGCGGGGCTGCTCGGTCAGGGCTTGGCCCCTGGTCTTGCAGGGGCGCGGGCAGGGCCAGACCCCGCGGGCCGGCGGGGGAGGAAGTGGGTGCTGGCGGGCGCTCGGCTGCTGGGGCCACGGGCAGACGGGCTGCGGTGCCGGGGCAGTTCCATTTGCAAAGACCTAAGGCAGGGACTCGGCTCCCCCGGGAAGCTTCAAAGCAGGAAACTGCTGGCAGGAGCCGGACCCAGGAGCCCAGGAGCCCAGGAGCCCGGCCGTGGCCTGGGGCACTGAGCTCTCCCGGCAGGCGACTGCCCATCCTCCGTCGGGGCCGCCCAGCCCTCCAGGAAACCTTCAGGTCCGCTCACCCCCCAACCCCGGAGCTCTCTCCCGGGACCCCTGCCCGCCCCACACAGCCAGTCCCTGTCTCGCTGGGCAATCCTGGACTCACGAAACCTTTGTGGCCTGGTGGGAAGCTCTGCGCCCCGTGGGGGTTTCTGGAGGCTGGCGGGGGTGGGGCGAGCCTCCACACTGCTCTCTGGAGGCAGGTGCCGGTCCCCAGCAGCCGCCTCTCACCTTGGGGACAGGGAATCCCAACGCCAGCCGCCCGCAGCCTGCGCCAGCCCCTCTGCTCAGCGCTCCCTTCCGTGGGGGAGGGCCTGGGGGCGCGTCTGCCTGGCAGGGGGAGGACATGGGGGTGCGTTTGTCCAGCGGGCAAACTCGCCGAGCGTGTGAGCCCCGTCCGCGTGCCGACTCCAGGCAGATCCTGCCTCCCGTGGAATGAGCTGTACCTGCTGGTCCCGCCGCTGGCGGCCGCTCCAAGGAGGGCTTCCTCCCCGGGCCTGAGGGGCCCTCGGCCCCCGCAGCGCAGAGCCTAGACGGGCTTCGGGGTGCCCGGAGCCCTGCAGCAGGGTCCTGCCTCTCGGCCCAAGCGCTGCGGTCGCCTCGCTGCTGTCTGCTCCTCCCTCCGCCTGTGCTTCTGCGGCACTTTGCTGCCCCTCAGGCCCCGAGAAGGGAGGCGGTCGGCAGGATGTCCAAGCCGTCGGGCTCACGCTGGCCTTACAGGGGGCGATGGCTTATTTTTTTAAACGGCACCAAATAAAATCCTGCTACAGACGTTTCCAGACAGCTCTCAGGGCCTGAGCGCAGCCCCACAGGGCGGAAGGCAGCGGCGCTCTGGAAAACGCTCTCGTGAGCGGGCTTGGGAATCCGCACCGCGGACTCCTGGCGCGGGGCGCGGAAACAATGGTTCTGTCTGTCCCCGCAGTCATCTCGCGCTCGCCTCTGCGGCGCGGGGCTCGTGATGAGGACAGATCCCAGCAACCACGGCTGCAGTCGGCGCCGCAGTGCAGCGGGCGGGCGCGGGGTCCGTGGCAGACGCCGCCCGCGGGGAGCCGCCAGGGCCTGGTGCGCGCCCGCGTGACACGGTGGCGGGCTCCGGGCCGGGCGCTGTGGAGAGCCACGGGCTCCCGAAGCCCCACTGCTGGGCGGGCGGCCCCTGGACACCCTGCGGGCGGCCGCGCCCCGACCCGGCGCAGCACCCGCCCGCCCGCGCCCTTCCGGGCTCTCCCCACACAGGACTGAGGCTGCGCCTGGGCCTGGCTCAGCTCCCCAGACCCACGACCTTGACCGACCTTGACCGCCACAGACACCACGGCCCTCAGGGCGGGGCCCCTCCGGCGTTTCCGTTCGGTCTCCTGGGGTCACTGAAGGGAAATCTTGTCCGTGTTGTGTCCGAGAGCATTTTCCACATTACTGACATTTTCTTGAAGTTTCTTTTCAGCGGCTGCCAGTTTTGTCCCATGGAAAACCACGGCACGGCGGGGAACTCGCTGCAGCAGCGCGGCCTTCCACAGAAATCACTTTCCCGGGGGAAACGCGCGTGGGGGGTCAGCAAGCTTCCGTGCACCCGTCACAGCCTCAGCCCGTTTCCTCCCCCACACCACGGCTGGGGAGCAAATCAGAGCCACCGTACCGCTGACTCTGCACAGACTGTGTGTGCACACACCCCTCGCTCACCCCCCCAGACACACGCACCCCACGCTCATCCCCAAACACACGCACCCCTCGCTCACCCCCCAGACACACGCACCCCACGCTCACCCCCAAACACACGCACCCCTCGCTCACCCCACACACGCACCCCACGCTCACCCCCCCAGACACACGCACCCCACGCTCACCCCAGACACACACACCCCACGCTCACCCCCCAGACACACGCACCCCACGCTCACCCCCCAGACACACACACCCCATGGTCACCCCCCAGACACACGCACCCCTCGCTCACCCTGACACACGCACCCCACGCTCACCCCCCAGACACACGCACCCCACGCTCACCCCCCCAGACACACACACCCCACGGTCACCCCCCAGACACACGCACCCCTCGCTCACCCTGACACACGCACCCCACGCTCACCCCCCCAGACACACGCACCCCACGCTCACCCCCCCCAGACACACACACCCCACGGTCACCCCCCAGACACACGCACCCCACGCTCACACAGCCCACTGCCCAGAGCCAGTGAGGGCAGAGGCCGGCGGCAGACTCAACACACACACTCGCTCGCGAGGACAGTGAAACTGCCGGAAACGCGTTCTTCGGCGTCATTAATCCTCAGAGAGAGGGAGACTTGCGCCCCGGGGGACGCGCCGTCTGCCCGCCGTCTGGTGACAGCAGCGCACGGCCATCGTGGAAGGGCCCGGCCCGCGTCCACCGCCGCGCGGCCCCGTCCTGCCGGCTGACCGCAGCCGCCTGAGGCGCAGGGCCCGCAGAGCTGCTCCCGTGGGCTGGCTCCGCAGCCCCCCGCCTCCCCGCCCATGCAGGGGCGACGCCCCCTCCGTGCCAGGCTGGCTCTGACGCCCTCACCGTGCGGAGGCCGGCCGGGAGGAGGTGGCGAGCGGGAGCGCGCTCCCCGGGGGCCCCGGGCCATCGAAGGCAGAAGGAGCTTAAGGAACCAGGACGCAAAGTGGCGGCCAACAGCAGGCCCGTCCCTCTGCCACGGAGGCCCGAGGGGGAGGAAAACGGATCACGAGAGCGACTGGAGACAAACACTGACGGGTAAAGCTCAAGCGTCCGCAGCCCCGGGAGCTCCCCCACCCTCCCGGCCCGCGCGGCAGACGGGGTGCCCGGCCCCGAGGCCGCTCTGCGAGGCGCCGCCCTCTCCGCGCCTGGACGCAGGGCGGCTCCAGCGACAACCCAGGAGGCGCTGCGGGTGCTGCCGCAGGGGACCCAGCGAGCTCGTGGGGAGGGCTGGTGGGGCGCGAGGGGCGGCGGGGCCTCCAGGCTGGGAGGACACAGACCCCGGCCGGACTCTGGGAGGAGACAGACGCGCAACCGCCAGCGGCACACCCCAGGCCGCGCCTCAGGCCGCGCCTCACGCCTACGGGCCGAGGTGGAAACGCAGAGGAAGCTGAGAAAGCACGAGCCATCCCCGGGAGCCGGGGAGGAAGACTAAGTCCAGATGGCAAGAAAGGCAGTAATTTGACATTAAAAATAGACCAGAGCACAACAAAAATAAGGGGAAGCTGCCCACACGCACACGCCAGCGCAAGTCACAGGCTGAAAACAAGCTCCGCGGTCTAGTGCCACAGACAAGGGCCGGCGCCCCCAGTGGAACGTGTCCTTGCGGGGAAGGAAGAGGTACAAAAACCCGAGAAAGATGGAGCAAACACATGAACAAAATACAGCAAAAATGATATAAAATGGCCCGAGTTGCTTGTACAAGCCCGACTTCCTCAGAGTAACAGCAGCACAGTGAGGCGGCCCCGAGGCACTCGGCAGACGCGGGCCACGCTGTTCCTGCCTGACAGGCGGGGCGGAGCCATGGAGGGAGGCTTGGCAGGAAACCAAGTACCCACCAAGGCTACGCGGGCATCGACCCTGGGCCCAGCAAGCCCAGCTCCTGGGAATCTGCTCTGAAGACACACGTTCAAAAGTATGAAGAGGGCCAAAGCCCGCACGAGCAGTGCCGTGTTATTTGTGTAACTGGAAGTATCTGGAGTATTGAAACACCCAGATGCAGGAGCATAAGCGATAGGTTTGAAACTCGAAGGAGTACTATGCAGCTGTGAAAAGTGAGGACGGCCTTTATCATGTTGTATTTCCAGAAGTATCGTTCCGAGAGGAAAAAGTGTGGATCATACACCATTCTGTGCAAGAAAGGGGGAAACTGAAAAACACAAACTTGCTTTTTTTTTAAAAAAAGATTTATTTGTTTTTATACAAGAGCTAGGGTACAGTCAGAAGCGCGGGAGGGTGAGAGGATTCACCAGAGCCAGAGCGGGGAGCAGAGCAGGCAGAAGGACCGAGGTACACTGCTGAGGGCAGCAGCGGGCGGCCGGAGAGGTCTGCGCGCCATGTGGGTATCTTGTCTGCTGGCTGGGATGGGATGTAACCCATGCTTCAGAGGCTGTGGACAGCTTCACAGTGTGGTGCTCAACCACCTGCGCCACCAGGGAGGCCCCGTGGCTCTCTAATTTTTTTTTTTCTAAAGATTTATTTATTTATTTATACAAGAACTGGGGTACAGGTCAGTAGTGCGGGAGGGTGAGAGAATTCACCAGAGCCAGAGCGGGGAGCAGAGCAGGCAGAAGGACCGAAGGACACTGCTGAGGGGAGCAGCAGGTGGCAGGAGAGGTCTGCGCGCCATGTGGGACCCTCGCCAGCTGGCCGGGATCGAACCGGCGCTGCAGAGGCTGCGGGCAGCTTCACAGCAACCCCTGTGCCACCAGGGAGGCCCACAAACTTGCTTCTTTTAGCAAAAAGAGATAGAGAAAAGCTAACCAAGAGCAGAACTGCCTGCCCACCGTGTGCGGGGCAGGATGGAGGGAGGGAGAAGGCGCACACGCTTTGGACAGCTCATGTGTGTGGCAGCAAGTGAATGCCCCACAGACAGTGAAACCCCGGCCAGAGGGAGCCCCCTGGAAGGACGGCCCCGGGAGAGCGGGCAGCACGGACGGGGGGCAGCGCAGAGGCCAGCCGGGTCCGCAGCTGACAGGTGTGTGCGGAAGGGCGCCTGTGCCCGGGCGCACAGCGTTGAGGGCAGGCGCGTCTTCACTGGAAACCACCTCTTAGGACTGAAAAAAATGACGGACGAGTGGCCGGGTAGTCACGTCGCGCCTGTGCAGGACACGCGTGGAGGGCGATTTTTAATGACAAAATGTTTAAACTTGGCGACTCTGAGAAAGTAAAAAGTCCTCTATTACTCTGGTAAATTTTCCCTGGATTTGGTATTAATTCTACTTTAAAACCGACAGGGACGGGCTGGCTCTGAGCACCGCCGGCCACGCGGAGTGGGGGCCGGCGCAGCGTCCACGCAGCGGCATTTAGAGGGAGACGAGGCCCTCGCGGCCCAGGTCCTGTGCCCAGGACGTCAAAGGACAACGGCAACGCAGCTGTGCCGCTCGCTCTCGGAAGCAGCAGGGTTTGCTGAGGCCCTGCACAGCGCCCCGTCAGGGCCAGCCCCAGCCGGCCATCCCGGCTCCCAGCCCGCGGCGGAGAGAAACCGCGTTTCCAACAGTGACAATCACGAGCCGCACAGGCACACAGGCTGGGGAGTCAAGGGCGCCCCGCAGCCTCGGGCCCGCGCTCCCCACAGCCCCCGGCCTGTGCTTCTGCAGCCTCGGGCCCGCGCTCCCCACAGCTAACCGGCTATTATGTGCAATCACAGCCGAGAGCCTGCGAAAATCACTCGGCCACGCTGACGTCAAGGCACAGATTAAACATTCTTTCATTGGCTCCAAATTGAGCAGCAACATTTACAGGACGCACCAGAATGCGCTGCAACCTCAGGACAGACCAGGACGGCCTCAATGAGAGGGCAAAACAGATGTGGAGAGGTCAGGGCGTCAGGACGCGCGCTGGGGAGCCCGCTCCGTGACACGGGGATTCAACAGGCAGCGCTGGGCCTCCCTGGGGGCGCAGGGGCCAGTCTCAGCTGCCCGCAGCCTCTGCAGCACGAGTTCGATCCCCAGCCAGGGAGTGACCCACAGGGCGCAGCAGACCTCTCCTGTCGCCCGCTGCTCCCCTCAGCAGTGGATTTCAGTAGATCTGCCTGTTCTGCTCCCCACTCTGTCTCTGGTGAATCCTCTCACCCCCCGCACCTCTGACCTGTACCCCAGCTCTTGTGTGCATAATCTTTTTTTTTTAAGATTCATCCATTTATACAAGCACTGGGTACAGTCAGACGCGCGGGAGGGTGAGAGGATTCACCAGAGCCAGAGCGGGGAGCAGAGCAGGCAGAAGGACCGAAGGACACTGCTGAGGGGAGCAGCGGGCGGCAGGAGGGGTCTGCGCGCCGTGTGGGACCCTCCGGTGGCCGGGGAGCAGCTTCACCACCCAGCGCTCAACCGCTGCGCCACCGGGGGAGGCCCTGTATGCATAATCTTAAAAAAAAAAACACAGGCAGCCCCCCGGGCCTCTGTTGCGAGTTCAGCAGTTTTGTCAGTTATGCCAAAAAACAGAACGGGGAGAAACCCACTGAGAGCTGCCTGGAGAGACGCGTCTCCACGTGGAACCCCAGGCGGTAAGCGCGCTCACCCGAACCCTCAGCCCTACAGCCTCACAGCGCCACCCCAGCCCGGGCTCCAGGCCCCCCAGACACGCGGCGTTCAGAGCTGTCACAGGAGGGAAGGCGGGCGCGGCAGCGACCTCGCCAGGCCACCCCTGCCATCTGCCCGTGCAGGAAACACAAACAAGGACATCCGCGCCCCCCGGGGAGCTGTCTTTAATATGGTAATCTCGGCAGAAACAGTCTCCATGGGAGACGTCCATTTTCCCCATAAAGGGTTTTTTTCCTCTTTATTAGAACACAGAACATTTTCTTCTGGAGCCCTCGACATGTAGAATTTATCAAACCGGCAATTTCTTGGCTAATGGGCTGAGCCAGGGGAGCGCGCAGCAACGGGCGCGTCAACGCGCAGGGCGGGGTCACGGCACAGGCCCAGGCTCCCTGCACGGCAGGGGCCCGGAGCCCCCTCATGGGGAGAGGAGCCCCCAGTGTCACAGAGACCCAGAGGCGGGGACAGCAAAGGCCGGGAGCACAGGCACCGAGGCCATCCTGTGACTGAGGAGACTTTCTGTATTTACTGCACTTGGTGATTTCACAAGTCGAGAAGCCTGTTTGGCTCGTACCGGATCAGGCCCGAGTGAAGGGTGGTTCTCTGAGCACCAGGGACTCCCCGACTTGCTGTGACCCCAACACGGCCCCCCCGGGCTTTCAGGGGAGACCAGTCCCAGACGTGTGCTCTGGTGGGCAACGCCCCCACCTGACCCGGTCCCATATTTCACGGCATTGGTGCAAGCGGGGGGCAGCAGCGCTCCCTTTCAAGGCTTCCCTCCTGTCCACCCCCGTTCGGGGCTGGCCACACTGCCCGCCCGGCAGCCGGAGGTCGCTGTGCCGAGTTACCTACAGGTCACCTGGGCTGTGCATCCTCACCTGAGACCGGCTCCTCCAGAGGTGCAGGCTCCCTGACCCCCACAGGCCCTGCTGGCCTGAGACCCAGCCCGCCCCCCCACGACGGGAGCACCGCTCCTTTGGCGTCCACCCCATCCTGCAGACGCCAGGACAGGAGACGGGCAGATGCACCGAGGAGGTTCCCTGAGATGAAGCCCCGGCCCCGCCACCTGCTGAGACCCCCTCACTGCAAGGCCCCGAGGACGTCCTCCAGGAACCGTCCAGGAGGCAGAGCGAGGCCTGAGCAGAGGCTGGGCCCCCGGCCGCCTCCCGGTAACCAGCCGGCACTCGGCCCTGCTCCGCACCCCACCCTCCTCGCCCGCCTCCCGGGGAGCCCGTCCCTGGACATGGGAGAGGACACGGACGTGGCCCTGCTGCCTCAGCAGCACGTCGGGGCGGCCGTGCTGGGGGCTGCACAGCGAGCCGGGGAGCCCGCGCCAGCATCTCCGTGCGCTGCAACCACAGGCGCGGCCGACCCGGAGGCTCAGGAGGCCCGCAGGACCCCTGGGACGGCAGGAAGGTGCAGCCCCCGTTTCAGAAAGAGGAAAGCGGCAGTCACGGGGAACAGACAAGGCCACCGTCACCGGTGGGAACGAAATCTTTTGAAAGTTTTGCTACAACGAGAATCACAACCTGAGGACCCTGAGGCTGGCTGTGTGCGCACGAGCGTGTCTAACTCTGCAAAGCGCCGGGTACGTCCGGCCGGGGGTGGCTCAGGGTGGCACCGGGGCCCGGAGAGGACGCAGGCGGGCAGCGGGCTCGGCGCAGGGTCACGCCGGGGGCCGAAGCAGACCCCGAGAGCCCCTCTCCTGACTGGCTGAACGCGGCCTCTGCTGTGGAGTAGACGCTTGTCTCTTATGGCGTGAGCACGAGTTCCTCTGCCACAGACACACACCCTGAGTCCCAGAGCGGGCCGGGCCAGGCCGCCAGCCAGGAGGGAGTCAGGGGAGGCCCGGAGAGGCCAGAGGAGGCCGGGGGAGGCCGGGCCCATCGCCCTTCCAGTCAGGAGCCGGGCCGAGGAACCCACAGGGGCCGCCGCCACGCAGCAGCGCCTCCTCCGGGCCTCCGTCCACAGCAACACGCGCAAGGTCTCCCACCGCAGCGCCTGCTCGCAGCACATCCGCCCCTCCAGGCCTTGGTGGCTGCCAGGGCCCCCCAGAGGCACGGTCATCTCCGGGTTCCCCGCGCAGAGCTCATCCTCGCGAAGGGGTCGTCGTCGTCCTGCAACGACACGCGGGCGTCACCTGGGCCTCCGCGGCCGGGCAGGCGGACACGCCAGAGGCACCGCTGCGCGGGGTCGCCCTCCTCCCTCACGGCAGACGCCGGCTTTTCTACCCGAATAAACACGAGCAGGCGGTCACCTGTCCTCCTCTGCCTGCCATCCTCGGCCATCACTCCACCATTGAAATAAATAAATGCAGCTAAATTCTCAGCGCGCGTCAGACGTGAGAGCCTGTCCCGGGCGCGTGCGGAGGCCACACGGGGCTCCCCGCACACCTCGCAGCCGGGAGAGGTGGGATCAGCCGGAAACACCAGTGCGCCTGGCTGCGCTCTCTGCCCGGGGACAGGCTTGCCTGCGTACCGTGTCTCTGGTACATACAACGTTCTGGAAGCAGCCAAGAGGGCAGTGACACTACTCAGTACCCGTAACTCTCACCCCCACCACTGCTCAGGGCTAGAGCTAGGCGCTGCTCTCAGACTGATGCAAGGGGCCCCCGAGCGAGCACTCTTTCAGGTGTTTCTGAGGAACAGCGGAAGGAGGGGTCTCCGCTCAGAGCCCACGAGGCTGGCGCAGCGCCACGCGTGAAGAGACCAGCCCGCATGGCCTGAGGACTTAAGAAAGAGAAGCACCAGCAGAGCCTCCTAGGCCCGGCGGGTGCCGCCAGGCACGGCCCAGCCTCACAGGCCCCGCGGCACCGTCCAGGGAGGTGCCAGCACACGTGCCACTCACCTCGTCTGACTCGAAGTCCACTCCTCTGGCCGCCCGGCCCTGGGACCCACACCTGCTGGAGGCCGCCGAGCCCGGCCACCTGCAGCAGAGACATGGAGACACGGGAGGGTGACGCGCAGAACCCGCTAGGGCTACATCCTGGCTACGGTCCCACTCGAGGGCCTCCGACGCAGTGGGCGTGAGGACCCGCGCGAGCGAGGAAAGGCCCAAGGCCGGCGTGGCCCGTGCCCCAGCCCAGGCGAGGACCGCAGCCACGTCACCCCAGTGTCAGCCCCAGTGGTTCAGCAGCGAGGAAACTCATCTCATCTCAAGCCAGACCTAATTCTCCTCTTGAGGTGATGAAAAGGCTGAGGTGACAGGGATGCTGGAGCAACATCAGTGGCGGCGGGGGCGGAATGGGGTGCGGCCACAGTACAGCGCGCATCCCTCCCCGCCAGACCCAACAGCACGTTCACACTGAAACTAAGGATTGGAAACCCGGCTGATCATTTCCTGAAGTAGGCCCTGCCCTTCGGAGGCCGGGCAGCACTGTGCCCCCTGATGTGCGCACCCAGGCAGGGCGGGAAGACAAAGTGAGAAATGGGTCATTAAAATCTCTCAGTGACACTTGGGACACGTCGGCGCTACGAGCAGCCACGGTCTGTCCCTTACACCCGCCCACCCCGAGAGGCCGAGGAGCAGCCCGCCAGAGCGCCGCGGCCCGGACAGACGTCCGAGGGGAACTCGACATCCTGCTCCTCAGACGCGCCTGGCGGGCGCCTGCGCCTACCTGGGGTCTGCCTTCGACGTGGTGGGGGAGACGTCTTCTTCCTCGTCCGAGTCGTCCACCACGATCTCCTGGGGGACAGGACAGCGGGGCGCTTTGTGGGAAGGGGACCACACGGAGCCGGAGAACGACCTGCTGCTGGGCGCGGGCGCAGGGCGGCCAGGGAGACGTGCTCTGCCCCGCCGGGGTGGGGGCTGCAGGCCGAGCTGAGGCCCCGAGACACCGCCGCCCTCATCTGGAGCCGCCTCAGCCGTCAGGCCCAGGAGCAGAGACCTCTGACCCCCAACCCCCGCCCTCAGGGCAGCATCCAGGCTGGGTCCGCGTTCAAAACGAGATTTTAAAATCCCAGACACCCTGTCTCGGGCCAGGGGACACCCCACTCTTCGCCTTCTCTATTCGCTTTGCAGATGAAAGAGCCGACAGCTCGGGGGGCGGGAAATACAGGTGTCGAGGCACGCCCTGACTCCGCTTGTCCTCACCTCCGAGTAGCTCTTCGCGGCAGCACTCCGGGAGGGCTGCTGTCGGGTGGGCTTAAAGGCTGTAATGAAAGGACGAAACACCCACTCAGTTATTAAGACAACTGAGAAAACCTCACCCATCTTGAAGTAAGGGCTTTCAAGGTCCCACCTAATTACAGAACCACCTGCATCTTTGTAAAGCCTGGAGGCGGGTGCTCTCCCGACACCTGCACACGCCCCCGAGGGGACCCCTGGGCCTCTGCTGCCCAAAGCTCCTGATGCTTCACGGGAAGGACATAATTCCTGGGAGACCCAGATGCTCCCCAGCTGGCCCCTAAGTTCCTCCACCACCCTTCACGCCGCGTCATCTCTCGCGTGATCACTCGCTTCGCGGAAAACAGCTCCACGGACGAGCGGCGTTCTTGGCCCTCCGCGGCCAAGCCGGGGCAGAGGGGGCCTTCCTGCTGCGAGCAGGCCAATCACACGCGCTCTCGGCACCGCGCCTGCCTCACGCTGGCCGGGGCCGCTGACCCTGAGGACGGGAACGCTGCTCGTGCCTCCCGATAGACTCCCCTGGGAGCCGGAGTCCGCCGGTCCGGGCTGTCAGACGTCAGTCCTGGCCACACGCGACTCAATAGTTAACCTCAAGTGACGCGACGTGAATGAGGCGTCCGGAATAACCTACACTGACTGTTTTCATAAATCTGGCGAACAATTTAGGCATATCCCATAAACCATTAGGAATAGTTTCTAAACAGGCCCCCAAAGCTGGAGGCCAGCTTTCACACCCACGTCCAAGCGCCCTAACACACACTCTCACTGCACACAGCCGAGCGCTGCCCCGCCCAACAGCAGACGCCCCGGGCAGAAGCCGATGGCGCGCCCCACCCTGCCCTTCTCTCCCGACGCCTCCCGGGGAGACACCGCCGCGGAGCTGCCCCTGCAGGAAACGGTGACGCTTGTCTAAAGTAAGAAACTGTGAAGCGTAACTTTCGTGTTCACTCTTTGCAGGGGCTCAAGTGAAAGGCAAAGACCTTGCAAAGGCCGTCTGCTGCCCTGCAGCCGACTCCGGGCGGCCACACCAGCCAGTGAGGCGCACGGGCCACCCTGGCCTCCCTGCCTGGACCCGGCACCGCCGCCCAGCCGGCTGCCGCACTCACCATCCAGAATAGACATGCTTCTGGGCACCGACGGGGCGCCCCTCGAGCTCCTGCCGCGAGTGGTCGTCTCCAGGCCGGGGCCTGCTGCGAGAGGAACGGGGGTCAGCAGCGGCCCTGGCGGCAGGCGCGGCTGCTCTGAAGCCAACGCCAAGATGAAATCCCCACAGTCACTCCAGACAGCTCGGACCTCGAGAGAGACGTCGCGTCTGGGCAGCCGAGGCTCAGAGACCCACAGGCCACACTGGGCTCGCAGTTCAAAAATAAACACTTCAGTAAATGTTTCGTGAATGTAAAACGGAGGAAAGCAGTCACCCACAGAAGACGAGGCCGCCTCTGGCCGGACATCTCTACAGTACTCTGCGCCTCCCTGGCGTCAACCCCCGCGGGGAACACCCAGCGGCTCAGGGCACCGCAGGTGCCAGCGGCAGCACATTCCAGGGAACAGGACCGCGACGCCAGCGATCACTTTAGAGGATCGAATTTTCTGACTTGTTTCTGGACAGATGCATGACGCCCTCTGCAGGAACGCGGGCCTCTATCTCGCGACAGTAACAGAAACGGCAACTCCCACGACCCGGAGTCCCTTCCCGCTGCCGCCGGCCAGTACCGGCCGTTCTCCTGCCCCGCCCGCACCGGCCTCATGACTACTTTGAACACATGGGAGCAAACATGATGTTAAATGCACTGAAAAGTATGAGACAGACAGTGACGTTCTCTAGAAAGACCCTCAAGAGCCGCCAAACCCTTGGCGCAGGGCTACCCCAGCGGAAGGGAACATGCACGCTGGGCAACCCTGACCCCGGCGGGCAGGCCCGGGGCGGGAGGCTCAGCTCTGACAATGGGGCACCTCCTGTCTGCCCACCGGCTCTCACCCCTTCCACGCTGAGACCCTCCTCTGGACGAGGCGGCCTGGCCCCGTCCTCTTCGGCCCCGGCCCCGGCCCCGGCCCGTGGGCGCTGGTGCGGAGCTGTCGTCGGAGTCCTCGGCCAGCTGCTCCGCCCTCTCTATGCTCAGGAGGTCGTCGGCGCTGAAGGCGGGGTCCTCCGACTGAGACCGCAGGGCTCGTGCCCTGGTCATGGCCTGCAGGGGCAGAGGGAACAGGTGGCGACGGTGCCGGGCGGGCGTGCGCCTGGTCAGGCAGACCCGCTGCGCTCTAACGGTGCTGCCAGCTGTGACCACCGAGTCCTCCATCCATGCACCCGGTGCCCGCGGCTCAGCACCCCTTGATAGGTGACGCGGCCTGTAAAACGAGACCTTCTGAGAGACAAACTTCACAGACACTGAAGCTTCAGATCGGGAGCAGCAGGACACTCGGCCCGCGCGCAGCGCCACCACCCCGAAACTCGCTGTAACCCACCCAGTGCGACAGGCTTGGGAAACGAGAAACAAAAAATGAAATTTTAGGGCGCTTTTCTTTTTATTCTTGAACACCACCAATGTTCTTCAATGTACTGTTCCTAAAATATCACCTTCATAACTCGAAACCCACGTGCAGCATCGCGTGACGGAGTGTGCCAGGAAGGCCAAGGGGCACGCATGGGCGTCCACCTGCACACGCCACTGTTTCTTTGCCCAAAGCATCTTCTCAGTGGGGGGAGGTTTCACCCCGTAGTGGCCGGGCCTGGTTGGCTGGCAGGGTCTGTCGTGACAGACCTGAGCCCCAGACGCAGAGGGGGGCGAGCACGTGGCCTGCGGGGCCCGCACCAGGCCCTGCCCGCAGCCTGACCCCAACACTCGCCCTCACCGCCCCCCCCGCCAGCCGGAGCATTTCAAGCAGAAGGCTTACCTCGCGGACCTCGTCATCTTCCTCGCTGGCGTTCTGCCGCCTGCTCTCTCTGAAGAGACGGACCTGGTGGCAGAGCAAGGCAGGCGCTGCTCACCGTGGCAGAGGGCCTCCCACGTGGCATCTCCACCGCAACGGACAGCAAAGCACACTCCATCTCACGACGACGGATCAGTCCCATCTCCCAGCGGCGCACACGCTCAGAAACCCACCGCCAGCAACGCCCCAGCAGACACCGCCATCCGTGCCAGTGCCCCAAGTCATGGGAATGAGGTCTCGGGCTGCAGAGGGACGCTTGGCAACCCTGTGGGTGTCCCGCGCCAGCAACAGTCAGGCCCGAAAGCCTCTCCCTCAGGGGTCTGCATCACCTCACAGCGCTCTTGGCCACCCTGTGGCCTGGCAGGCTCCGCGACGACATCCTGGGGCAGGCCTGAGGGCCGCTCCATGAGCAGCAGGCCCAGAGAGCCTGCGCTTGCCAACCACCACCCCCGCACCGGGCCAGGCTCTCAGCGCCAGCGCCCAGTCAGTCGGGACCCACGCAGCACAGGTCACTGCAGGCCGGTCACTGCAGGCGCTGAGAACGCACGGCGGACAAGCAGCCAGACGGTGCCCTGGCAGCCCCACTGTACATGCGCGTGCGGTCAGTGGACAGGACAGGTGACGTGCATCTCAGCAGGCCTGCAGCATCAGGTGACACCCCCAGCTGGGCCAGGAGGGCGAGGCGCCTCTGCCCAGGCCAAGGCCTTTCCTGCCCTGCTCAGCCTGCACTGTGAGTTACATACAAGGGTTATATGGCCAGAAGGGCGAAGAGAGCCCCTGGGAACTAATGCAAAGAGCCTGGGGCCCAGTGCAGTGTGCAAAGAAGGACCTGGGGGAGGCCAGTGTCCGCCTGCGCTATGCCACCGGCCTGGCAGCGAGCCCTGGTGCACCCGGGGTTCATGGGTCCTTTCCAGAACCTGCACCTGTGCCACCTCTGCAGACGGTGAGCGCCTGCCGCGGAAAGCGCAGCTGAGGCAGGCAGCTGGCGGGCACGCGGCTGCCACGGAGGCGCCAGCGGGAAGGCTGGACAAGAGCCAGGGTGGCAACAGCGGGAAGGAGTCCTGCAGGGAATTGGGCAAGTCACTCCCAACAGGTGGTGCTGCCCGGCCCCATCCCGGACGACCCCTCGTCTTCCCACTCCCCAGTTTCTGCCCTTTCCAGAATGTCCTGGGGTTGGAACTGTGCGGCGGAACCTTCCAGGCTGGTTTCGCCGACCCAGCCACGCGCAGCCATCAGCACCCGCCAACTCCAGGCTCAAGAGGCAATGCACCACGGCCCTGCCCGCACGCCACTCAGCAACCCTGGCAGCGTGTGGTGGCTGCTTCCAGTCCCACCCCGCACAGCCCCGCTGCGGTGCACACATGCAGGCCTCGCACGGACACTCTCCGCAGGTGCCGGGGAAGGAGATCGGGTCAGGCACCGAGTCTGTCCCACCAGGCTGGTGGCCGTGGGGGCCCGTCATCCCCTGCGTGTCCTAAGAGCGGGCTGTGGCCCCATGTACTCGCCTGTGCATCTGTGCTGGGCGAGTGTCAGGGCTTGGTCTGTTGCTAAGAAGGGTGAATTCTCCCCTCGAGCTGCCAGAGCCCCCGGGCCCCAGTCTTGTCAACGTGCCCCAGGCCCAGTCTGCGCCACCTTCTCACTCTAGACAGCGGCTTTTGTGGAGCAGCTTCTCCTTCAGTTGGGCCCAGGGCAGCGCTTCTACCCCACAGTCCCTGGCGTCGGCACGGCCTGAAATGGCGCTGCACAGCCGCCTGGCTTGCTCCCATTTCAGCTTCTAGGAGCGCGAAGGTCACGCCTCCACATTTCGGGGAGCGGGCGCTAAGCTGGGAAGCGCCCCTGCTAACGACGGCGGGTCAGCACACGCGCATCGGCCTGGCGGCGGGAGTCAGGGAGCGGCCACTTCGAAAGTAATGCTGCTTGCTCTCCTGGGAGGGCATCTGGAAAACACACTCCATCTCCTGTAACCCCCTCACCGGAGCACGGCCGATGCCGCGTCTGGAGGGCTGAGCGCACACGGCTGCGCGGAGGGGCCTCGCGAGCCTTCTCCTCGGGCAGTGTTTCCCAGGAAGCACTCGCGGCGTTGCTGCAGACTGCCCTGTGGAAGGGCAGTTCCCGAGGGCCGCAGGGCCCTCTCTGTCCTGCAGATGCTTCCAGCTCTTCCCCAGAGAATGGCTGAGATGCGTCACCCACACACGAACCTCGACCCCGTGGCGCCCCAGGCCAACTTCCCCGTACTCCAGGGCGAGCTGCTCCCAACATGCCCGCCAGGCCCCCAACCCAACCCCGCCAGCCTGCAGCTGGCAGCGCCTCCCCGGGCGCCGCCACCTTGATACCTCCCGTGTCCGAGCTCTTTGCTGTTCTAGGCTCACTGCCACGTTCATGCCCTTTTTCTTTGTGTTGCAACATCCAGCATTTTCTTAGGGTTTATAGAGTCTTGCCACTAAGAACACGAAGCTTTTTTCTGGAAAGGTGCAATTATTTTCTCCACACCAAGAACCTCTAATTTTGTTCCTTGGGGATCTGGTATCAAACATTTAAATGCCTCAGAGAGCTGCAGCTAAAGAACTTCCCTCTGTGATTCTTCCACTGCGGCTTCTCGAGGAAACCCAAACTCAACCAAAGCTTACCCAACACTGGAATGGCAGAAACTACCAGCCCACAAGGGCCACTTGGGCACTTTCGGGATCGCCAAGAGCAGACGTGGTTTGTGGGAAGCACCCGATGCGCCAGCGGTCCTCACGTGAAGGCTGTTCTAGGCGCTGCCCAGACACTGTGGAATTTCACCCTTACTGCGTGACCTCAGCATCACGGAGGAGGAACGGAAACGCCAAGAAGGCAACACGGGCTTGCCCAGCGCAGCTCGAGGAGCTCCCGGGGAGACGCCCGCAGACACCGCGGCCAGGACTCACCTCCTCGTCGATTCTATCCTCCAGGGCGTCGATGTGGCGCTCCTTGAGGAAGCGCTGCGTCTTCTCCAGCTGGTACTTTACCAGCTCCTCGATGGCATCTTTCTCCTCCTTGTCCACAAACTCCTGGACGGCCTCCCCCATGCCCCTCTCCGTCAGAAGCGAGAGCTGCACGTTCTGTGGGAGGGAGACACGGGGGCGGGAAAGTGCCGGCACCGCAGCCAGGCACGGACCCCGGGGCGGGGGAGACAACGCCAGGCCGTGCACGGAGCCCCGTGACCCCCACAAGCTGGAGGAGGCGACGGGGACCCAGCACAGGAGCGCAGGGCGGGCTGGGCAAGGGCACGTAAGTGGGTGCTGACGGCCAGGCTGGCCAGCATGGCAGGCAGGGCCTCGGGGCGCCCCACCCTGCGCGCTGCCTGGTGAGGACAATCCCCATGAAACGGGGTTGAGGTCGCCGAGCAGCTGACTGTAAAGTGGGAGGTGACGGGGGCCGTCCCGGCGGGACAGAGGAACCAGAGGGAGGCAGCGCGAGGTGACCGGGGAAAAGCAGCCAACCCGAGGGGCTGACTCTAAGGGCGAAGGAGCACGAAACGCGCGGCCTCTCAAGCCGGGGGGGGGGGTCAGGACACGGAGCCTGCCCCGGCGCCTCCAGAAGGACAGGGCCCTGCCGACACCTGCTTTCCGACCCACGGGTCAGTGCAGGCCCCGCCAAGCGCCCCGGGACACTGGGCTGCGGGGGTTTCTCTCAGCAACAGGAGACGGGCCCCAGCAGGGGCCAGGGGGCAGGCGCTGCCGCGGTGCTGGCCAGGACTCCGACGCGGGGACAGAGGACAGGGTGCCCACGGGGACGGCGGCGCCGCGGGACCACAGCCCTGCCGCAGCCACGTGCACCCCTGCCGCAGCAACACCCCTCGCCCCGGGGGCACCGGGCCCGCTGCACATGGGCACACCCACACACATCCTCCCGCTGCCATGGCACCCAGAGCTACCTTCTCTGCGGTCTCAAAGTACTGCTTGACGAGGTCTTCCACCCTCAGGGTCGTGCCCTCCGCAGGCCTGGTGACGAGCTTCCCGAGGTTGACCTCTTCTGGAAGACAGAGGTCCCGAAAAACAGCTTTTGCCTACGGCGAGCCCACCCCAGGCCTCCTGCTGGGGTCCCACGGTGCCACAGGAAGACCAAGGCGCCGGCCACCTCCCGCTCTGGGCTGGGCAGGGGAGACGCCAGCTCCTCCGTGACGTGGGCGGCAGCACCGCTCCGGGCGGCGGGTCAGGGCTCCCCAAGGCCCGCCCGTGCTCACGGTTCGGAGGCAAACAGCAGCTCGAGGACGCCCTGGGCTGTGCGGGGCTGCGAGCCTCGGACACGCACACAGAGAAGGAAGCGCGTGAGGACGCCTGCTGGGGGGCCCAGGACGCCCGCAGCTGCCACACACGCACGCACACGGGCACACACGCGCGCGTGCACACACACACACGCGCACACGGCCAGGGGCTGGCGGGCTCGAGCTCTGGAAGCCACGCCGACAGGAAAGCGGAAGACGGCTCTGCCAAGGGGGGAGACTGCAGGGAGGCACCGGTGGCCCCCGCCGTGGCACAGCCCCTCCGAGGTGACGGGCGACACCGGCTGATCTTTGCCTTCAGGCCGGAGACACTGGAGCACACACATCACCCTGAATGCTGCTCAAGAGAAGGTGTTTCATCTCATGCCGCCGCTTCGCAGATTGGTGCTTTTTTTAAATATAAAATTACTTAAAAATGCAGAAGAGTCTTGTAAAAACAACGTCCTGTGTGAAAGCGTAAAAGCCGTCGATGTGGTGAAACCTCAGGCCCGACTACCGTCTATTACTGAGACAGGTGCGTAAAGCACCCTCGCGCGCCCCACGCAGGACGGTGGTCCCGGGAGCGAGGCCAGAGGGCCCTGGCAGGATGGCGAGCGGGTCCAGCACCTGCCGCCTCGCGGGCCAGCTTGGGCAGGCCGCGTCAGGCCGTGCGGCTTGCAGGGTGCAGGCAGGATGGGAAGGCAGGACTCCCGCCCCGGCACCATGGCTGCCAGTGAGGCGGTCAGGGCTAGGAAGGAGGCCCCACGCCGAGGAGAGACGCGGGACCTCGGGGAACCACCTGGGACAGCCAAGCACAGCCGCCTGTGGCCTCGGGCTGCGAGGGAGAGAGTCTCCAGGCCAGAGGGGAAGGGCGGGCGCAGGCCCCGCAGAGCCAGGCGGGCGAGCGCCCAGAACCTCCTGGGGCTGCGGGGGAGGAGGTGGGACAGCCCATGACGCCCGTGCGAGCCCCACAAGGAGCCCATCAGGCCGCACAGCCGCCGTCTCGCCCCCGCACACCAGGGGGCCCGCGGAGCGCGCCCAAGTGGGCCGCGCCCCGGGCAGCTGACCAGGAGACACTCCAGAGGGTCACGCCTGCCCCAAGCAGATCATGCTCAAGCAGAAAGGGACTCGCTGCAACAAAGCTGACCGCAGGTGACACTCAGGTGAGCGAAGGGCGCTGGCTCTGTGCTCTGCCAGCTTGGCGGTGCCCAGGGAATTCAGTTAAAGCAAACCACTGTGGCTCGGCAACCACTCAAGTTCGCAGCGTAATTCCTGGGCTCACGCTCAGCAGAGCACGGACCCACCCCAGGCGCCAGCAGTAGCGGGGAGAAGCTCGGGGACCACCACAGCTCTGTAAAGGCAGAACAGCGCTCCCCAGGACAGAGGCTCGGGCCCTGAGGAGATGCTGCTGAGGGCGCGTGTCACAAGAACCAGCGGGACGGGGCGTCCTCTCACCCTGCTGCCCGCCGCCGTCAGTGGTGGCAGTGGCTGCTCAGAGCGCGTAACTGCCCTTCATGATGGACACTCAGGTGTGAGCTGTGAGCTGACCGGTGCTCAATGGTCCAATCAGACATGTGGGTGACAGAGGAGATAAGCCAGGTTGGAGGGAGCTAAGGAGCCCCCAGAAAAGGAGACAACCTGGAGCCCCCCGAAGGAGACGACCCGGAGCCCCTGAAGAGGGAGAGACGACGCCAGCCCCTGAAGAGAGGAAGACGGTTCCGGCCTCTGAAGAAAGGGAGCAGCAGCGTCCAGTGGCCACCCCTGAGGAGGGGAGGAGCCGAGGACCTGGTCACAGACGGGTCTCGGGCCTGCTCCGACGTCACCTGAGGAGCCCCGGAGGCCCTGGCCTGGCGCCTCTAAGAGCTGTTTGTGGCTGGTGCCGGGGGAGCAGCCGCCACGTGTGGGCGCAGCGAGCTCGTTACTCCCGGCTGTGAAGAAACCCCGGGGTGGTGGTTCCCGAGGCTGAGGTCTCGCAGCCGTGCGCGGGTGAGACCCCGACGGAGACTGTCCTCTCATCGGGCCTGTCCTCTGGCTTTTGGCCTTTTTGGCCTTTGGGGGGCGCTCTGGTCTCAGAGACCCTGTGGCCTCTCGTGGCCTCCCTGCCCGTTTCAGTGGAAAGAGGCCACTCTCCGCCCGTTTCAAAATGTCGGAAAGTGCAAACAGGCCCCAGGTGGTTTCGCGCCTGTGTGGAATGTAAATAACCAGAGAGACACAGGCCGGGCCAGGCGGACAGGAAGCCTGGACTCCTCGAATGACATAAGGCAGATGCCCCGGGGGGCAGAGGAAGGGATGGAGGGAAGGTGATGGGCTTGGCACTGAGCTCGGGGAGACGCGGTGCAGCTCCCACAACTGTGTAGTTGTGTAAACAATCGGCAGACCAGTAAAATCGGAAACAAAATTCGCAGGCAAAACATCAGCCTCTGGTATTTGCGCCCTAAACTGCATTCCCTGAGCTCCACTTAAATAGCCAAACTGGCTCGGGCTGCAGGGGCAGCAGGAGACACGGGCTGACCACACAGCGAGCACGCGGCCACCAGGGCGGGCCGAGGCGCCCAGGAGACACACAGGCCGGGTGTGCTGGGGGACCCCTCGGGCCCAGCGGCTCTCAGAACACGCTCTGCCAGCCGCGGCCAGCGCTCTCCGGAGAGCAGTGCTCCCACGCCCGGGACGCGCTGGGGTGGACGCTGCGGGGAGGGCAATGGGAGTTAGTCAACGATCATCAGGAAGCCCCACTCCGTCTCTGGCGGGTGTCTGTGTCACAGGACGGGGATCTCCCCGCGTCGCCACGCAAGCCAGCGTGACAGACAGCGCCAAGACGGGGAGTGCACACAGGAAGGTTCTGAGCAGTAAACCCCGAAGGTGCTGCACACTGTCACCTCAGCCGCGTGTGCGCAGAGCGACGTCAGCAGGGCACGCCGTGTGTGCATTTGACAGCTGGTCTGAGAAGTGACTGAGCTTTAGAGGACAGACATTCGGCCAACAGCCAGCGTGTCTAAGTTAGAGGACGACACCCGACCGCGTCCCATTACTGGACGTTTAGTTCAGTCAAGACTGGTTCGGGTGAACCCTTTAAGAGCATTTTTTAACTTGTAAAAAGTAACTCGCTTACCCGTTTTTTCCTTCTGTTCTCTGCGCCTGAAAAAATGGATCACATCCTTCGGATTAGCCACGCGGTCCACAAACTTCTGGCTGAAGCGGAGAACGTTGAAAGGCTCGAATCCCCCGCTGTAGTCCACCTGCAATGCACCCGGCGGTGAGGCGGGCCGGCGCCCGAGGTCGGCGCTCGGCTTCCGCGCGACGCTCAAAGGAATGAGTCATCGCTGCGCTTCGTTTTCAAGCTCACGATGGCGAGCACGGAGCTCGGGGGAGACTGAAGCGCTGCTCCATTTCACCACTGACTGAGAAAATAAAGTTGCAAGTTTCTGAGCTTATGCAAAACACTTTGCGCAACAGAACGGAGATGGGCAGCCGTCCCGAGGCTGGAAAGGTGAGAGTTCCTGGGCCGGGCCGGGCCGGGCCGGGCCAGGCGCCGCCACAGACGTGGAATTCCTCAACGCCTCTTTAAACTTCACAACAGAAAGAAAATGCTCCTCCACAAAATGCCAGGCCCAGGCGCCGGCCTGTCCTCACGGAGACGCTGCCACACCAGACAGGACCAGTGCTGGGCAGCCCGCGGAGGAGACTCGAGCCTGAGAGGCGTGGGCCTGGCTCCCCTCGAGCTCAGGACACATGCTGAGACCCGGCCGAGGAGCACACGGCTGCGGAGGCCCGCAGACCTTCACTGTGTCTCCCTAAGGGGCGTCTTCCTCCCCGACACCTGATGTTGATGAGCGTGCACTGCAGGGTCCCACCCACCCGCCCCGGCCCTGCGGCCACTGCCACGTTTGTCTCCTCCCAGACCTCCACCCGTCGGGACCCCCTGCTGGGGACCACCATGCGCCAGCAGGCCAGGGAGGGGCTCCGTCAGCGCCCCTACTGAAGCCCGCCTGCAGGCCACTGCGCATCCGCGTGGGACGGAGACCTGCTCCCACGCCTCGCAGACGACGACACACCGCGTGCCGGCGGTCCCCCAGGTCCGGGGTCTCCAGCGTGTCAGGCAGGCGGACACAAGGACCGTGGGGTCTCCTGCACTGACAAAGAGGAACCACGTGACCCCCAAAGCAAGCGTGTCTGCGTCCCCCAGACCATCACACAGCCGCTGTGCGGAGAGCAGAAAACACGGATGCTGCCGTGTCCCCGCACTCCTCAGACGGCTCTCCTGACACTGAACAGGGCGGGTTCGCTGTCCAGGAGGAAGGGAGGGGGAGACGCTCGCACAGACACGAGCGGGCAGGAGAGCGGCTGCGGCGGCTTTGCAAAGGTTGGTCCGTGGGCGGGCGCTGCCATCAGGTGCCAGCCCGGCTCCGCGGGGCCCTCCTGCTCCAGAGCCACAGGACTGTCACAAGCAGGTCTCCTGAGGCCCTCCTGGGCCGGCCGCCTTCCGTGCAGAGGGGACCTCTGCCCAAGACAGGGCGTCAGGCGGGAATCACAGGAGTCGGGCTCAGCCACAGCAGCGAGAAAGCAGCGGAGAGCAGCACGCTGGGCGCTGGGCCCCCGCCCCAGGTAGGAGCAACGGAGGGTCCAGCTGCTCGAGACTGCTCAGCTGGCGGCAGAGCCAGGACCCAACCCTGGCCGTGGGCTCCAGACTCTTCTCCACGTTCTTATCCCAGGGCTTCTCAAGCATTCACAAAATGTGGGGGTCATGAGAAACGCAATTCAGTGGAGCCTGGGGTTCTGCATTTTTCAGAACTCCCGGAGAGGTCAGTGCTGCTAGTCTGAGGCCCACATTCCCTCAGCACCAGGCTTTCAGGGACCCCAGACCTCAACAAGGTGTGTCACCTGGAGGGTAGGCCTGGCAGCCCCTCACAGCGGTCAGCGCAGTCATGGACCTGGGCTGGCCAGAGGGCCGAGCCACAGCGCCCACGGGCACCAGGAGGGCAGGAGTGCCCACCCGTGACAGTGACGGTCACCTCCCCGAGATGGCCGCAGCAGGTGCAGAACAGAGCAGGAGGGTGGGAGAGGCGACTCTCCGAGGGCTGGGCAGAGAGTAAGACCACAGGGGAGGGGCTAGAGGAAGACAAGGTGCCTGCTGATATTGGCTGTAATGACGGACAGGAGAAGCAGGAGGGACAGGCACGGGAGACACCTCGGCTCCTCAGAGCCTCCGACGCCCACAAACTCAGCCCCCCCAACGCAGCTGACAAGCCTTGCTAAGCGCCAGGAGCTGTTCAGGAATCTTTGGGCACACCGTGGAGGAGGCCCCACGGCAGCGCTGGTGTGGGCCGGGCCACGGGGGGAGGAGGCCCCACAACAAGCCACCCGCGGCGGGCGGGCAGGGTGGCCGTGGGGCCCAGGCAGATGAGAAAAGGGGTGTCTTCAGGGGCAGCATGAGGCTGCAGAGGCGGGGTGGAGGGAGCTGGGGGAGCTCTCGGTCACCTCCCAAGAACAACAGCACTAGATGCAAAGTGAGGAAAATGAGGGAAAGAACCCAAGTTCTGAGAATCCGCCCGTGGTGCAGCAAATCCTGTGAGCACGCCCCACCCCGGGGACGCCCGCACCGCAGGGGCCTGTCGCACCTCCTCAGGGCACCTCCAGGAGCACCCCACGCCAAAATGAGGGGCCCTGGATTCGCCAGAAGGACTCACTCGCAGGCGGATGAGCGGCTTCTCCGGCTGCCGGGCATTCCCCAGACGCTCCCGCTCGGCGTTCTCCAGCATGCCCTCGACCTCGGGAGAAAAGCGCGCGACGATGAAAACCAAGACCTTCATTCCAGTCCCGGTCACTCAGCCGGCAGCAGGCACGCTCGCCGCAGGGACCCATGAGCTACAGGCCCACCTCTGCCTGCCACCCACTCGGGCGCCCCCGGGAGATGCTGTCCCTCTGCTCCCGCCAGGCCCACGCCATCACGCGCCTCTGCGCGAGAGGCCTGCATCAGGAAGGCCTCTGTTTCCACAGCATGTTTCTGAGAAGAACCTGGAGCACGACTCCTGCTCTGCTTTCCGCCTGTGTTCCAAAATGGCTCCCCTCAGCTTACAGCAAAGCAACGAACCAAGGAACTTAACTTTTTCAGCCATCCCTGCGAGACGGGATGGAGCATTTGACAGCTACAAACAAAGGTTCCAGGTCCATTTTCTTTGGAAGTGTTCAAGTTTAAAGAACTGAGAAGAGGGCCTCCCCTGGTGGCGCAGGGGGTCGAGTGCCGCACTGTGAAGCTGCCCGCAGCCTCTGCAGCGCCGGTTCGATCCCGGCTGGCCCGTGAGGGTACCACATGGCGTGCAGACCTCTCCTGTCTCGCCCACTGCTCCCCTCAGGAGTGTACTTCGTCAGTCTGCCTGTTCTGCTCCCCGCTCTGTCTCTGATGAGTCCTCTCACCCTCCCGCGCATCTGGCCTGTACCTCGGTTCTTGTATAAAAATAAATAAATCTTTAAAAAATAATAATCAAGGGGAGTGAGCTCACGTACGTGAGGTCGCCTCTGCTGAGGGATGGGCCTGGCTGTTGGTCCTGAGGGAGGAAAGCCACGGGGCGCGGGTGGCCTGCTCCAGCCCGAGGCGCTTTGCACTGGCTAAAACCCAACCCACTCCTCTCTCTTCTCGCTGCTCTCCTCAGATGGGCTCTGCCCTCGCCTACCAGAGATGCACCAGACCCCGGGTGCGTCCTTCCCTGCTGAGCTCATGGGGGCGGCCGCTAGCAGGTGGGCACAGCTCCTGAAACGTGGCCAGCAGGGAAGGGGTGAATGGATGTCGTGCGAGTGGTCGCAGGGCTGTGCCGCCCAGTCAGGCAGCCCTGGCCAGGAAGGACGAGCCCACGGTTGTTCTTGGTCCACAGTTGTGAGCACAGCACCCATTTTCCGGCAGGCCACAGGCAGGCCACGCTCAGACAGACCCAGGCTCGCCCTCAAAGAGCACGTGACGCTGCGCCTTAGCCAGAGCGCGGTCACAGGCATGTGGAGCAAGGGGCCAGCAGGCCCAAGCACACTGGGTTGGCACAAACGGTCACTTTCACACCCCCAACCCCCACCTCTCTGGATGCACGCCACCACACAGGGTCCCGAGATTCACACGGCCCCACAGCAGCAGCTCTCGGCCATGGGACCGCCCGCTGCGGACATGCTATTTTTGATGACCCCACCCGGGGAAGGTGCTGCGGCACGTAGCAGGCAGCAGTCACAGAGGACACTGGCAAACGTACTGTGCCAGAACCACCTCCCACCACCAGATGGGCTCGAGTAAAGTGTCAGCTGTGCCAGGACTGCGAGGCCCCAGCCAGGCCCACCCGGGCTCGAGGCAGTGAGGAACGACCACGCGGCCCTCCAGCGGACAGTGTGTGAGGCGCACAGGCACCACGCAGTCCCCAGAGGCAGAGACCGTCAGAGACGGTGGCCCGGGGATGGAGAAGCCCGCCATGGCCACCCAGGTCTAGACCGTGGCACAGCACGCGGCCCCTGAGCAGCAGCATGCACTGCGGGGCCAGGTCCCCGGCAGGCTCCGGGCTTCCTACCCGCCCACAGCACGGAGTGCAGAAACCCCAAGCTGCCACCGTGCCCACCGGGCAGGGTGGTCAGCCCGGGCCAGCAGGAGCGCCGGCCGCCCAAGTGTGAGGACAGAGCACCGGGCGGGCGGGCCAACAGAGGGGCCTGAGCGCAGCGGGCGACGTGTCGGAGGCCCGCTATCTGCTGGGCCCACCGCCCACTGCGCCCGCCGACTTGGCTGTGGCTGGAGTCTCAAGCCCATGAGGGAGCGGCACGGGGCTCCCGAACGGGCTCCCATGAGGCAGGAGCTGAAGCCACAGGGGCACAGCAGACACACGTGAGGAGTCCACGTGGGGGGCTCTCCAGGGAAGGGGTGCAGCTGGACATCGTTAGAGGTCACCGCGCACATCCCCACTTCCCGATGAACCACGGCCGCGAGCCCATATTCCGTCTGGAAGAGGGGAAGGAGCACACCCAAGCCCTCGGGGAGGCGCTGCCTGGCATGCCCTTGACAGGTGCCCCATGGCTCAGACCCGGCACAGCCACACCCAGACTCTGCGGCACCTCCCTCCCGACCCCACCCTGCCAGAGGGCTGCAGGGGGCACCAGGCTCGGAGCTACCTTCTCGAAGCAGAAGCTCTGAATGGCGAGGGTGACTTTAGGGTCGTCTGGGCTGAAAATGTCAGGGTGCTCCGCCAGAACCACGTCCTCCAGGAAGAACTGGCGCGCGGTGCGCAGCGGGATCTTCTGCAGGTTCATCCTCCGGCCCTTCACGCGCAGCAAGCCCACGTGCCTGCAGGAGGGGCGGTCACACACACACACCCGCCGCGCGTCGTGAGGTGCACAGACGGCTTCTCTGCAGAATCACACCCTCGCAGAGCTATCTTTGCTTTTCAACGTAATCTTACGTCCCGTCAGGGAAGAAAGCCTGGAGTCCGTGCTCCTCTCGGCTCTCCCGTCTGGGCGCACAACTTGAGGGGCGGGAGAGACTTAACCCGCAGCCTGGGGAGGTGGACGGGACCAAACCCACCGCAGGCAGGAACAGCAGTGCGCGCCTCCCACGCGTGCTGCACATACGCACGCTCACCCCCCCACCCCGAGATCAGCAGCTGAACCGTGGAGAACAAACAGCAACAAACGAACAGCCACAGTCCTGTCCCTGAAACTCGCGCCATCGTCACAAGCAGCAGGACCCGAGTGGACCCAAAGGGTAAAGACCGTGACGAAGCCACGCTGCGTTTAATCACCACGTGCTTTGTCACGGGATCCCCGAGCGGCCCGAGAGCCGAGCCGGCCGCCGGGCTGCACACGGGCCCCAGAGGACGCAGCTGTGGCTTCGGGTGACTCTGCTTATAAGGGAACGTGCCACGAATCATCGCCTTCGGCGCTAACTTGCAATAAATAAAAACGTCCGTCTTCACTGGGCCCGGAAGCAGCGAAACCACTCGCACCCGGGCCGCTCGCCTTTTGAAGGCGGCCGAGCATCTGGGAAACGGACGCCGCCGAACAATCGACCTTCGTGTCCTGGCCAGAGACCCCGCGGGCCCCAGGCGGCGGCACCACTCACTTCTGCACGGCCTCCCCCGGGGACAGGGACGTGACCACGGAGCTCCCGGGCTGCGACACGTAGAAGAGCTGCTGCTCGTTCTTGGTGGGGGCGATTCTGCACTCGTGCTCATGGCCCCACACGACCAGGTCCAGGAAGTCGTCCAGGAACTGCTCCGGGATGAAGTTGGTGTTTCCGTGCTTGCTCCTGCACCGAGCGTGGGAGTGAGAGACGTAAATGTCCAGAAACGCAGAAATACTTCCTACTAATTAAACCTGTCCGGACCCTTCTCTCCTCCTCAAACCCCGCCTATTGCAGCCACCGCAGTCAGTGGACACGCTCAGGACGGGTCTCGAGGCTGACCCAGGGGCAGACACAGAGGAGCAGCCGGCGCCGAGGAAGGGGCCGGGGGCAGGCCGGGCAGCACGAGCTCTGTCCACGGTGAAACCTGAAACTGATCTGACTAGACGGCAAAGAGCCAACAGCGAGCCACGTAGCGTGTGTCCCCACAGGCGGGGTCAGCAATTCTGCAGCCCTGGTTCATAAGCCAGGACTCAAGACCGCGTCAGCATGCGGCAGGCAAGAGCCCCAGGCTTCCGACTGGGGGATGAGGTCGCGAGTAAGTGAGCAACCCTGAGGACTGGGCCTAGTCAGGCTCACAAACGTGCAGGCTTGCGCAGGCGGCGCTGTCCGGTAGGCAGCGGCTCTGCAGAGAGGGGGCAGGGCCAGTGCAGGGATGCGAAAGGAGGGCCTGGAGCGCCCGTGGCACCCACAGGTTCAAGCCACAGCACAGAGGGAAGAGGCCCAAGGACGGATGCTAAGGAGTGGGGCACGGTCAGGGAGGAGCGGGGTGTCTGCGGAGGCTGAGGGGGTGACGGGAGCTTCATGCAGAGACACCCTCGCCGGTGATGAGGCCGGCGTTGCCAGGACAAACTCCCTGCCTCTCCCCTCAGTCCACCCATGTTCTGGCTGACATGACCGGATTCAGCCGGGATCGCCCCTCCTGACTGACCTGCTCTGGGAAAGCACAGGATGGGGAAGCCCCGAGCAGAAGGAAGAAACTTCCAGTGGGGCAGTCACGTGGCGCCTGCTCTGCCTCTTCAAGAGGGCCCAGAGCAGCGCGGCCGCCCCTTCAGCTCCACCTGCGGGGCCCAGGGCGCCCGGCAGTCAGTGAACTCTTGGCACACGACGCTCACGTAACCAGGACCAGACCCCCCACGGCTCTTCCTGGACAAGCCTCAGCCTGCCCTTCCCGTGTTTCACTGCGTGACTGTCACCACCCCGCGCTTTCCCCTCGTGACAGCCTGAGCTGGCTCCTTCACGTCCCTCCCTCCAGCCAACCCGCAGCCCCTCACACCACTGCAGAGGAAAGCTGGTCGGGCAACCGTCATCGTTCTGGAAAAAGCCCCGCATGCAGGCACCAAAACTCACATGTTAGAATGTCCGTCGCTAAAAGGACATGCAAAGGCCCGGGAAGGCCCCACAACAGATGCACGCTCGGCGGGAGACTCACACTTCCCAGCGCCAGCGCGGGGGTCTCGGCACCTTATGTCGTGCAGAGCAAGGCAGCCGCAGACAGCAGCGGGCCCCGGCACACCAGGGCGAGACAGACTGTCCGCAGACGTCAGCAGCAACTCATGTGGGCCTGGAGACAGGCCCTCCCTCAGCGGCACGTGGACAGAGGGGTCAGCGAGCCCCGCCTGGCTGGAGCTGGGAGTGCCCCCCTCTGGTCCCCACCACACCTCATCCACACGCACGGGTGTGGCCGTCGGCTGAGGGCGGCACAGGGCGCCTGCACAGGTGAGCCCCGCGCTGACAAGCCCCGAGTGAGGACAGGCCACTGCAACAGGAAACAGGAAAACCGGGGAAGCTCAACACCGGGCTGGAGGTCGCCGGAAAGCGCTCACCTGTTCTGGTGGATCACAAACAAGTTAAACCAGGAGCTCTCGTCCTCTTTAGGTCTCAGCATCGTCACTTTCTTATTGACGAACATCCGGTAGAGCCTCTCGTCCGGGATGGACCCTGCAACGACACCATATTGCCTGAGAACAGTTTCCTCTCTTTGGCTTCAAAACACGAGAATGTTCTCAGCTGGGCGCTTCTCCACGCACTTGCCCTCCTGCTCAAGCGCGCCTGGAGAAGCAGCGTCAGCTCCCCGGGGGCCGAGCACCCTTATGCTCAGTGAGGGACTGCGGGCGGCACGGAAGGGGCATCTGCACCCCTACATTTACACCCCTGCTGTCACTCCTAGCAGAACGGATTTTTTACTTTTTATTTGTTCTTTATACACGTAGCTTTGATCTGAAGCATAGATTAGAAAACACACGGGAAGACTTCTCAAAGGGATATGTTAAAACTGATATTCTCATATTGTTTTCAGAGAAGTTTGTTTTAATAATTAATGACTTTCAAGTAATTCCTCAAGTATGCCAAAGGATGACCTTAATTTAGTGCTGGAGACCGATAAAAACCAGGAAACAACCCCAACACCTGGCTAATTTTGAGTGTTATAAGGGGATAATCCTTACAAGGCGGGATGCTGAGACGGGAATGGGGGTGCTGCTTCACACGGTGACTCGGGACCCCTTGGAAGAACGTCACCGCCACACGAGCGGCAGCCGCTAGGGGTCCGGCTCGCGGAATGGGCAGGGCGAGGCCAGGGCACCGGTCACGGAGGGGCCAGGCAGGCCCACCGCGTGGGGAATGAGCCTGCCTGCGGGGTGCGGAGCCCCAGAGCACTGGCCCCGCGGAGGCAGGTGGCAGGGGAAGGGGGGACTGTCGGGCCAACGGCCCGGCTCCGGGGGCAGCGTGTATGCGGGCACGTGGAGGCCGTGGCAGCCTCAGGGCTGCTGAGCAAGGTCCAGAGCACCACGGGCTCGAGGCCAGCGCCGCGGAGGACACGCGCCCCAGTGCAGGCCAGAGACGTGACTTCAGATTTCCCGGTGGCCGCGCGAAGACAGTAAACGGGACAAACTAACTTCAGCCTTCACTGCACCCAGTGCGCTAGCAGGGCGCTCGGTGTCTTTCCGAGCTAGGACCTCCGGGGCGTGCTGGACTCGGGCGCGGCCGTCCGACCGGCCGCACGGGCAGCACCAGGGCCGCGGGGCTGGTGTGGGGTGACTGAGACACCCCACGGTTTTCCACGTCCCTCTGGCTCCAGCACCCGGGCCTCTGACACCAGCCTAAGAGGAAAACTACGTCCAAGCTAAAGGAAGACGTTTCATCGCAGCCACCGTTAAAACAAGCATTGTGTTTAAAACTTTTAATGGCAAACGAGTCTCAAGTGAACTAACCACCCTGCGCCCAAACCGCCCCCAGGGTTCTGGAGCCACCGGGAGGAACACCTAGAGCTTTCTTCCCGACGGCAACAAGCGAGCTCCAGAATTTGATCCCCCAGTTGCTTCAAGAACTAAATGTTTATTAACACAAGCGGCGACATGAAGCCTCACCTAGGCCGTAGAGGGCGAGTCTCGTGCCCCCTTTCTGCAGCAACACCGGGCTGATGTCGATCTTCTCCACGGACGGCGCGCGGCCGAAGTGGTTCACGAGCCCGGCGCAGCTCAGCACATCCAGGGCGCAGAGCGCGTCCGCCTGCCCAAGCACGCGCGGGGAAGGTCAGTGCCGGCGGCCCGCCAGGGGGCACAGCCACCAGCACCCGCCGCGCCCTGGCACCGGGACGCCAGGCAGGGCGGCGCCGTCTCCAAACGAGACTCAGCGGTCGGTGTCCACCACCTCTCCTTCCACCTGGAAGTGACCCACTGGGCTACCCGACGCAGAGCGAACGTGCGTCAGAATCTCTCCTCTCAGCCACTGGAAAACAAAGACTGGCCGCAAAATGGATATTTTCTATTTCTACACAGACCCCGTGAGGTGTGGGCAAAGGACTGAGCAACCAGGGACAAAACAAAAAGGTATCTGGGGATCAGGCCTCCTGACTTCCACCACGCACAGCTGGTGAGCCGACCGGGAAATTCAGATTCAACCCGCCCCAGGCACGACCGTCTCCCGCAGGCGTGTCCTGTCCGAATCCCGCGCTGAGCGCCAGCCCAGCACTGATGAGATAAGAGCACACCCCACGCGCCAGTTATTATCCCAGATAGGAAATTAGCTTCAAAGGCAGCATAAAAGCTTCTGGGAATGATAAAAAGCCAATTTGGCTTTCTGGTGCAACCTGACTGCAGAGGCTGGGCAGAGGGGAGTGCACCCCACCCGCTAGACTGGCTGCAAGGAGCTGAGCAGGGGCGCCCAGGCATTACCCCGGTGGGGTCGTCGTGATTGCCGTGGATGCTGAAGACGGGGATGGAGATGTTGAGGTTGCCATCCTGGTAGTTCACCCACGGAAACCTACCAAAAAAAAACAAAGTTCACTCAAGTGTCTGTACGAGACAGAAGCTGCTTCCCTCCGGTTCCTCTCCCAGAAAGCGAGCAGCCCCCAGGCACAGGACGACCCAAGGCTGCAAGTGACCACCAGCTCGCGTTTTCAAAGGATGGTCAGAGCAACCGTGTATGGCAGCCCACGCCCGAGACACTCTCTGGCACCCGCCCTGTGGAAACCCGGCCCCGGTCAAAGGGAGCGCGCGGGCAGCCCCTCCTCTCCCCGGGCCCTAGAATCTGAACTCCCATCACCCCCGCTGTCACTGCTGGTGCAGGCATCCCCGGCGTCTCCGCGGAGGCCACCGAGGTCAGCAATTTCTACTGTGTCTTTGCAGAAACATCTGCACCCAGCTGAGCCCAGCTTCCTTCAGGCACAAATGGAAGCACAGCGGGTTTCCGTGCCCCGCTTTCACGCGTCCTCTCAGCACAGGGAGCGCCACCCCGGCTCTCCTCGGCCTCGATTAAGTGGCTGCTCCCAGCACGCTCCAGCTCAGGCTTCACAGCGGGGGAAGGGGCCAGAGTGCTGCGCTGGAAGGAGAAGCCAGGAAGGTGGAGCCGTTCACACGGGACCAGGCAGCGTGTGGGAGGGCGGCCCTCACTCGGGCGTAAGGCACTTGAAGGCTTTTAAGCCTGCATCGGAGGCTCTGGACCCCAGCTTAGAAATGCCACACCCAGACGGACTGGCCCAGGGCCTAGACGCCTGGTGACCAGGATGTTCATGCAGCATTGAGACACACCCGCCGGCAGCACTGAAGCAAGCTGCGCGCACACGTGTGTGTGTGTGTGTGTGTGTGTGTGTACGTGTGTAAAGCTTCATTTTCCTTTCTTATGAGTAAGGTGGAACCCCTCTTGACGTCTGAATGATTTTATTTCACGTTCTGTGAACCTGTCCACATTCTCAGCCTGTTTCTAATTTACTGCGGAGTCTTATTCTTGATTTAAAATAGCTATTTAGGGCCTCCCTGGTGGCGCAAGGGATTAAGCACAACACTGTGAAGCTATCCGCGGCCTCTGCAGCACAGGTTCGATCGCCGGACAGGGAGCTACCCACGTGGGGCAGCAGACCATCCCGCCCTGCCCGCTGCTCCCCTCAGCCATGGATTTCAGTCAGTCTGCCTGTTCTGCTCTCCGTTCTGTCTCTGGTGAATCCTCTCACCCCTGCACTTCTGGCCTGTACCTCAGTTCTTGTATGCATAAACAAATCTTTTTTTTTTTTTAAAGATTTATTCAGGGCCTCCCCTGGTGGTGCAGCAGTTGAGCACTGGGTTGCGAGGCTGCCTGCAGCCTCTGCAGCGCTGGTTCGATCCCTGGCCACATGCGAGGGTCCCACCAAAAAAAAAAAAAAAGATTTATTCATTTATTTATACAAGCACCGGGTACAGTCAGAAGCGCCGGAGGGTGAGAGAATTCACCAGAGCCAGAGCGGAGAGCAGAGCAGGCAGAAGGACCAAAGTCCACTGCTGAGGGGAGCAGCGGGCGGCAGGAGGTCTGTGCGCCATGTGGGACCCTCACTGGTGGCCGGGGATCGAACCAGCGCTGCAGAGGCCGCAGGCAGCTTCGCAGCCCAGTGCTCAACCACTGCGTCACCAGGGGAGGCCCTGCATAAATAAATCTTTAAAAAAATAAAATATTTATTTACTGAGGAAATAAAACCCAATTCTGATGGGTTGCAAATATCCTTCCTGGCCAGGACTCAGACATTCAACTTAAGGAAGTCTTCGCAAAGCAGAAATTTACTTATACAATCATGAATCTTTCCTGATGTCTGGGTTTGTGCACTTAGAAAAGCCTTTTCTACATGTAGTTTTTTTTTTTTTTAAATGTTTCTTCCAGAGCTTTTTTTGAGTAATCTGTATTTTCCCGTAGCTATGACTCATCAACTGTGCAATTCCTACGTGAACGTGAGGCTATTTCTGGAGTCCCTTCACCCTTTCGCTTTTCTACCATGTCATACCATTTTATTCATTTTTTAAAAAAGATTTATATATGGGCCTCCCTGGTAGCGCAGGCGGTTGAGCACCACACTGTGAAGCTGTTGGCAGCCTCTGCAGCACAGGTTCAATCCCAGTCAGCCAGCGAGAATCCCACATGGCGCACAGACCTCTCCTGTCTCGCCCGCTGCTCCCCTCAGCAGTGTATTTCAACCAGTCTGCCTGTTCTGCTCCCCACCCTGTCTCTGGCGAGTCCTCTCACCCTCTCGCGCATCTGGCCTGTACCCCGGTTCTTGTATAAAGAAATAAATCTTAAAAAAAAAAAGATTTATATATACAAGAACCGGGGTACAGGTCAGATGCGCGAGAGGGTGAGAGGATTCACCAGACACAGAGTGGGGAGCAGAACAGGCAGATCCACTGAAATCCACTGCTGAGGGGAGCAGTGGGCGACAGTCCTCCTCTCACTGCCACGCCATGTGGGCATCTCCCCGGCCGGCTGGGATCGCACCCGTGCTGCAGAGGCTGCAGGCAGCTTCACAGCACTGCACTCAACTCGTTGCACCACCGGGGAGGCCCGATGTTGTACCATTTTAAATGATCACAGCATTATCACTTCTCTTTGCTGTGATGTGACTAACAAACACGTTGAGCAACTCTGAGCTGTGTCACGTGCTGACGTGACACATTACAACATAATTACACCTGCTCAGGGGACCGCCTGCATCCTGGCTCTTAATTACTGGTCCCTGCTGTGATAAGAAAATCTAATTAGAACATCTTATAAGAGCATCTTAGTGATTTTCAAATATGAAATATAACAATTATAATCAATAAACTATAAAGTAGATTCTTGGGACTTAATCACCTCACAGCTAGCTAGAAGTTACACCCTCTGACCACTGCTCCCCCTCCTCCCAGCCCCTGCTAACTACCACCCGCTCCAGCGCTGAGCATGGTTTTGTAGACCCCACACACAAGTCACCCGCAGCTCCTGTCCTCCTCACTGATGGATTTCACTTAGCGTAATGCCCTCAATGTCCACCCACGTTGTTGCCAACGGCAAGACTCTTTCTTCTCGTAACTGGACATGTGCTGTGGGGTATAATCCAGCATCCTCGATCCATTCCCCACCAGTGAGTCTTGCACTGGAGCAACGCTGCAGTGAGCAGGGGGTGCGGGGCCCCCTCTGAGCCCTGTGAATACGCACCTCCGAGAGGAGCTGCTGGATCACAGGGTAGTCTGATCTGCAACTTCTGGAGGAACCTCCTCCCTGATTTCCAAGTGGCTGCCTGGGTTTACCTTCCCAACCAAGGGGTCCGCCCCCGCTCCCACCTAAGGGAGGCAGGCTCGCACCGCGACCTGACTTGGTCTGACAAACAGCGTGTTGACCGCTTTCTCGTGGACACACTGGCCATCTGCCACCTGCATGTCTTGTTTGGATGAATGTCTTTTTAGCTCATCTGTTTGTAAAGCAAGTAGCTTTCGTGCTACTGAGCTATACGTATTTTCTAGAGTATTTTGGGTACTAACTCCTCATCAGACATGATCACAAGCATTTTCCCCACCCTGCAGGCTGTCTTTGCACTTGCTGGTGGTTTACTCTGCTGGGCAGAAGCTCTTTGCTGCTGGAGCTTTTTTCTTCACCTTTTTCTAATTACGTCCCATATACACAGGCAGGGACAAGATCACGGCATCTGCAAATAACCAGTTTCACTTCTTCCTTCCAGATACGGGTGCTTTCCTTTTCCTTGCCAAACTGCTCTGCGGAGGACACCGAGTGCAGCACTGGCAGGAGTGGGGAGCGGCCTCCCCGTCTTGTTCGGCGTCTCTCCACAGTGTGTCTGTGCGCTGCGGGCTTGTCACTCAGGACCTTGATCACACGAGGGCACTTCCTCTATACCAACTCGCTGAGGTTTTTTTCCATGAAAGGGCACTGAATTTTGCCAAATACCTTTTCTGCTTTTATAACAATGTGAATTTTATTCCTCGTTTTGTTAATGCGGCACACTATCCTTTATAATCTAGTTGACGCAGTCACTCCTTGGTTGTCGTCATTCTCAGTTTCCCTATCTCTCTTTTATTAATTTTGTCTGTTTTTCTATATGAACTAATGAACAATAGGGTAAATTACCCAGAATGCATTTTTATGACCTGGCCTTCTAGGGGGAATCGTGTAACAAATCCTAAAGTGCAATTTTTCAAGAAAAAGAATCACGTATTTCATTACATCAAAATTAAACATTTCTGCCCAAAAAAGACCCAATAAAGTCCACAGACAAGTCGCTGATTGGAAAAAAGGCCAAGTGTCTACATATGGAAATCACTCCCGCAGAGTCCACAGAGAAACACAAAAAGCCTGACTTTTACAATGGGCACAGGACAGGGACAGAAGAAAACACCGAAATGTACAATAAAAGCCAGAGACAACGCTCAGTCACTGCGAGGGAAGCTTGATGGACACACCGCCATGCGGGAAAGCATAAGGCCTGTGGGCACGGAGCAGCGCTGCCGAGGAAGGAGACATGGCCACTGTGACGCTTGTGCATCTTCCACAGAACACACCGGCGCGTGCGGGCGTTTCCGTAGGCACGGACACTTACTTACTAGCCCCGAAGTTGACTGACTGGTCGCTGAGGATGTCAAACTGTACAGGGCGGTCGCCCATGCAGTATTTTCTCAGTAGCTCCAGGCAGGTGTGTAATGTTCTTCGGGAGGGCTTATTTTCATGAAAAAGATCACCGCCCAACAAAATAAAATCCACCTAATCAACAGAAAACAGTATGAAAATCAGTAGGCTTTACAGGCAACAATTTCCAAACTACAGACGAAAGACGGTGAAGAGCCTCACAAAGACACCGTGGATAACACACCATCACTCCATGCTTCGCTCATTCAAAGGGTCCTCCAGTGTGGTGACTGGCCTGCGCCCCTTCAGATGACCACACCACGTCTGACTCATGCGCCCCAGGAGACCCCATTTGTCTCTTTAACTATTCAAGAATAGTTAAAGCTGGGGGCTGAGCACAACCCACGGGGGGCACACCCCATTCAACCCAAGTATTCATCCAGCTCATGCCCGTTTTCACAGGCGCTGGCCCTGCAGAGACACAGGCTGCCCCACAGCACCCACTGTCACTGGAGACGCGCTGGGCCCGCGGACTCGAGAACACTGGGGCGCCCCATCCTGCACAGCTCCACAGCTCGAGGCAGAGACAGCTGCAGAGCAGGGAGTGCGGCCTGGCGCGGGGAGGGTCTGCGAGCGGAGCCCGCAGGCAGGATGTCCCTGCAGGACGTCCGAGGCTGCTGGGAGCACGTGCCGACACGTGGCCTGGAACCGCACGGTGCACGGGGGTCGGGACGGCCTTGGGGCAACCCCGGCAGGCAGAGCACACGGGAAGCACCCGGCGAGGCTCTCGGCGCTCCCGAGCGCTGGGCAGGCCCTGCTGGACAGACGCTTCTGTCCCGGCGGCTGCACGGATGAAAGCAGCTCTGTGGCCAGGTCCCCGACAGCAGGGGGTGGGCGCGACTCCAGCGCACCCTTGCAAGGGCCAGGGCGGCGGCCTCGAGTCAGGGGACGTCACACCAACGGCAAACTTTCATTCATTTTAATATTTTTCAAAATTGATGTGCGAGTCCAGCCAAAGGAAAGATGTGCCTGGCCCCGTGCAAGCGGAACGAGACCACGAGGAAGGCTGACCCGGCTGCCCGACTGGAGTAGCCCGCGCCTGCGGAGTGTCAGGGCCCGCGAGACCAGGAGGCCCAGGCGCCCAGCCCACAGCAGGACTCGGCCTGGCAGGTTGTCAAGAGCACCCAGGCCTGCATGAAACTCACGACTGGGTCAGAGAAAATGGGTTGAGGAAGGACAACACAAACGTGGTAGACCCTGGGAGCCCTGGGGAAAGGGCGGGTACGAGAGTCTGTACGAATCTTGCGGCGTTTCTGTAAGGCTGGTGTGACTAAAAGTTGAAAAGGCCACAAGGAATGTAGACGCAGAAGTGAGGCCGCAAGGCCCTTGGGGGGCGGGAGGATTCACACTGAACGAGGCGACACAAAACGCAACTCAGAGGCGCCGGGAGCGCAGCGAGGAGCGCGGGAAGCGGGGAGAGCACCAGGGGAGGGAGGAAGGGGCCTGAGGGTCAGAACAGACACAGGCTCTGGCAGGACAAACCTCGCAAGCTGCAGTGTCCTCTGCCCAGGGAGGGGACACCACCTCGCGTGGGACACACGGCACCTGGGCGCACCCCGAAGCGGCACACTCGGCGGCAGACGCTTCACTCTCTGGGGGATTACCTTCCCGGGAGAAGACAGCAGAGACCGGCGCCAGCATGTCATGGCAGATGGCCTTATGGGGAGAGTGATGGGGCAAGGGCTGGAGGGCCGGGAGCAGCGGCCTAAAGGGGGCCACGAGAGAGCAGAACTGAAGGGGGCGCCAGACCCGCCGGGCCCTGCAGCTGACTGCTCTGCGTTCCACCAGAGCCACTGGCGGGCTCAGCGTCCAGCGACAAGGTCCCACCATCTCACAAGGCACTCCGGCTGCGATGCGCAAGGATGTCGGGAAAGAACGGAGATGAGACCGGCAGGGAGCGAGCACCTGCGTCTGGCAGGACAAGGCCACACAGACGAAGTTTACAGGCCGGACACAGAAAGCAGGCCGGAGGGGGCGCGGGGGGTGTCCATAAATACTCAGCAGGAAGCCGCGAAGGGCTTGGCTATGTTTCTGGGACCAAACTCCTCACTCTGGCATTTGCAGCCCTTCTGAGTGCAGCTCAGACCACATTCCTAGTCTCGCCACTTTCTGGCACGCGCCTGCCAGCCCCAGACACCTGACTCACCTCCGCGCCGACCCGCTTCCCAGGAAGTGGACATTCTCCACGCGGACTCGCCCAAAACCCAAGTTCAGCACCACCTCATCTGGTGCTCATCACCCACGTACGCGCCATCTCTCCCACCTCTACACGCCCAGGAAACTCCATTTCCAACTTTCCTATGTCTGGTAACACACAGCCCTGCCTCTGGGCTCCTGGGCACATGTCTTATCTCACATACTGGTTTGCTACGTGTCCCCTAAAAGCGGAAACTCAGTTACCTTTACATTTCAAATAGCAATTCTTGCAGGACCCTGCATTCAGTAAACAGCTGTGAATATTTGTAACTTTTTTCAGGCTGTCTACAAGAGTTAATTCTACTTGAATTAAGAACAAAACCCAGGGCCTCCTCGGTGGTGCAGCGGTTGAGCGCTGGGTTGCAAAGCTGCCCGCAGCCTCTGCGGCGCCGGTTCGATCCCCGGCTGCTCCCCAGCCACCGGAGGAGGGTCCCACATGGCGCGCAGACCTCTCCTGCCGCCCGCTGCTCCCCTCAGCAGTGTCCTTCGGTCCTTCTGCCTGCTCTGCTCCCCGCTCTGGCTCTGGTGAATTCTCTCACCCTCCCGCGCTTCTGACTACACCCAGTGCTTGCATAAATAAATACATAAATCTTTAAAAAAAAAAAAAAAAAAGAACAAAACCCAAAAATGTCTGCTCTGGGCTTCTAGGACAGGTGGGGAAACGAAACCTCCACCTTTAAGAAGGTAAAAGACCCAGCAAGGGGAGGAAACATAGTAGACGCCGCAAAAATGTAAACCAAACTCACTTCATTTTCCTGGGCAAGTCTTAAAATTTCATCAAAGGTGACAAACGTATCATTTCCTCTGACTGCATCTTTCTCCATAAATCCCAGATGAATATCCGTTGCAAGTAAGATTTTAAAAGTGTTTTCATCGTCACTGTATTGAGAAAAGAAATGTTTTGATATAATCAAAAGAATGTTCAAGCCCTAAATTTATAAATGAAAAACAGCAGTTACTAAAATCAATTTTCTAGCTTTAAATTAGGTCCGAAAATCTGAAGTATCTAGAGATTTCTAACATCAGTTTTCCTGCCATTAATTCAATACAGAACACATTATTGTTTAAAGATTCTCTGCTTGCTTCCAAAATTTAAAACTTTGTTACAGCTTACCCTGACGTGCAAGCTTGCTTGTTTCCTATTCTATTCCATAACAAAGATTTAAGATTTAACAACTATATCTAAACCTATTTATCTACTTAGTACTTTTCCAGAAAAACTAAAGGTAACTGGGTAATTTTAAAAGACCCTATTACTTTATAACTAAATCCTACCCTAATGAGCTGGTGACTTCATGCAGCGCCCCTGCACCAGATGCCCCCTTGACTCTGCCTTCACAGTTAGTTTTTTATTTTCAAGTTTGGCGAAATAGTAATAAAACAAGGTTATAACTGCATTTAAATTCAGTAGCATGCAGTCATTACTATCAAGCCTCACTTGAAATAGTTATTTCCTGTATGTACAGAGGTATTACACAAAGAGCAACAGATCATTAAATCTGAAAAATGAAGACTAAATGGGATCCAGGATTAAAACTCAGGCTATTTTCACTAAACTTGAGAAAAATGCCTTTACTTAGCTCTCAAAAATTCAACTCCTGGGCCTCCCCGGTGGCGCAGTGGGTGAGCGCTGGGTTGTGAAGCTGCCCGCAGCCTCTGCAGCACCGGTTCGATCCCCGGCTGCTCCCCGGCCACCAGAGGAGGGTCCCGCATGGCGCGCAGACCTCTCCTGCCGCCCGCTGCTCCCCTCAGCAGTGTGCTTCGGTCCTTCTGCCTGCTCTGCTCCCCGCTCTGGCTCTGGTGAATCCTCTCACCCTCCCGCGCTTCTGACTGTACCCAGTGCTTGCATAAATAAATAAAAATAAATCTTAAAAAAAAAATTCAACTCCTTACATACATGATTTTTTTCAGGAAACACTTCTATTCAGAAACTTCAAAAATGCTATGTGCACACTGGCTGCTACATGCCCGAGAGGCCTGAACGCTTTCCCACCCTGTCACGGCCCAGTGAGCTGTGAGCTCTCACTTAAACGCGAAGATTAGTCTGGAAAGGAGTCAACTACACGCAGGAAGAAACTGAGGCAAGATTCTGAGAATTGCTAACTTACCCAAGGCCACACAGCTTGCCAGGGTGAAAGACCCCAAAGTAAGCTGTTTCTACCTAACTTTTTCTAGCTCCTTTTCATTTTTCCTCAAATTTATTTCCAGTTTACTCAACAGTAGAACAATTTACTCCTCCAAAACTCAACTTCTGCTGTCTATTAAGCCTTCGCATGAAAGTGCAAGGATATTTATAGCTTCATTCGCGTAAAACAAAACCTGAGAACGTGAATTTACACACTACAGCAAGAGACCGCGTCGGGGAGCGCCACCTCCCCCGGCCCACTTCAGTGAATCTGCAGAGAGCGTGAATTTTTCATCACTCCCAGCATCTCCGTGGAGACCAACACCTCTGCCCTCGGCCCAAGTCCTTCGGCTCCGCCCTGGACGCGTGTCCCTGGACGGTGACCGTAACCCGCGGGCTTTAGGGCAGCGGGCAGGGGCGGGCAGGTGCTCACAGCGCGTCGGCGGGGCCCATGTCTGCGGCGGCTCCTCCGGTGCTCGCGAGCGCCCGGGGTCCCGCGCCAGGCGCGGGGGAAGGTCACGCGGGAAGGTCAGGCGGGTCCGAGCCCTGAAAGCAGAAGCGCGTCAGCGCGAGGCAGAGTCTGAAGCAGCAGCCCGGGGTCCCTCGGCCCCGGGCCGGGGGGGGCAGCCGCCGCGGGGTCACCCGGCCCAGCCCCCGTGCCCGGCGGGGCCCGACCCCCGCGGGGTGCCGGGCGGCGGGGGCAACTCGGGGCGCGCGGAGGGCCTGGGCGGCGGCGGGGCGACGCCTCGCTCCCGGCCGGGCGCTGGGGGCGGCGGCGGGGCTCCCAGCGCCCTGCCCGGCCCCCGCCCCCGCCCGGCGGGACACGGGGCGACGCCCGGCCCCCCTCGCTCGGGCCGCCGCAGCCCCCGCGGGACCCCGCGCCTGGTACCCGGGTCGGAGCGGCGGGGCGGCAGCGCGCACACGGGCGCCGCCATGAGCCGGACTTGGCGGGAGGGGGAAGCCGCGCTTTCTCTCGCGAGACTCGCGGGCGTACGCCCCGCCCCCACGCCGGCCCTGCTCGGCGCTCATTGGCCGCCGGGTGCCGCGAGAGCCGGAAGAACGGGCGAGGCCCCGCCCCCGCGCGGGGGCCAACGGGAGCCGCCGACGCGCCGGCCCGGAAGCGCCTCGTCGCCGGCGGGCCCGGCCCGACCCCCGCGGGCCCGGAGCGCGTCCGGGGGGCGGCCTGGCGGTGAGCGCGCGGGCGCGGGGGCGGCGCGGGGGCGGGGTCCGGCGGGGCGGCCCGGGCGCCTCGGCCCGCCCGGCCCTGCCCGGGGCGACCCGCCGGCGGAGACCCGCCTCCCCGGGGCCGGCCGGGCCCCCGAAGGGGTCGCGGCAGCCGGATTCGGCTTCGGGCCGCAGCGGGCGGGGGCGGGCGGGGCGTGGGGCCCGGGTGGGGCCGGGGCGGGGCGCGGGCGGGCGCGGTGGTCTCCGGGGACGCGGGCGCGGAGCGCGGGCGGCTCCCTGGCCGGGGCCGGACTCAGCGCACGGTCGGCGCTCGGCCCCTGCGCCGCGGGAGGCCCCGGGCGCGGCTGTCCTTCAAAGCAGCGCGTGTCCCAGGCCTGGACCGGCGGGGCCGAGAGGGGCGGGGACCCCAGACGGCGCGAGAAAGCCCCGGGGAGGAGACGCGGCCGCTGTCCCTGGGGCTCGCCCCCTCTTAGGAATCCCGGCCTCGCTGGAGCGTTTTAGGCGCTGGAAGTTCTTGTTTCTCCTCCGCGTCTAGTTTATGAAGAGCAGGAGGCCCCGTCTTTGTCGTGGGATTTAAAAGGGCCTCCCCGGGGCGCAGCGGCTGAGCGCTGGGCTGCGAAGCTGCCCGCAGCCTCTGCCACGCCGGCTCGATCCCCGGCTGCTCCCCGGCCACCGGGGAGGGTCCCCCATGGCGCGCAGACCCCTCCTGCCGCCCGCTGCTCCCCTCAGCAGTGTGCTTCGGTCCTTCTGCCTGCTCTGCTTCCCGCTCTGGCTCTGGGGAATCCTCTCGCCCTCCCACGCTGCTGACTGTACCCAGTGCTTGTATAAATAAATAAATCTTAAAAAATAAAAATAAAATCTTCAGCATTTATCAATTTTAGCATAATACAATAGTACTTAAACCAGTAGGTCCAAAGTCATAGTTATAACTAGTGCCTTAAAGAAAAAAAAAGCATATTCAGCATCAGAAACACAGATCTGTAAACCCACAGATTCAAAATAATATAGTTGTAATCACTGACTTAGAAGAAAACAAAACAAAATCAGTATTTCATCATTGAAGACGCAGATAGTTGGAATCTATCAGCTCCAGCACTCAGTGACTGCAGAGGACACCGGTGAACACTGACGGGTTACGTGGTTTATTTCCGCTCGTTGGTGACACCCATGCCGTGGACCGACTCGGTGAATGCTCTGTTAATAATTTTTGTTTGTGTTTTCAGATCTTGATGAAGGGCAAAGGAGACATAATTCATCTCTCGAAAGATTGTTTATAGCTGGAACTTGAAATGCTTTGTATTAGAAAACACTAGTAAAAATGCAAAGAGAGACGGTATCTGACGACCGGCAGCGGCACCCCGAGACCACCTCAGACTTCTCCGAGCAGTTTAACCAGCTCGAGCTGCTGGAGACGCACGGACACCTTATTCCCACGGGCTCCCGGAGCCTCTGGGCAGGGGACTCCGATGAAGATGAGGAGCAGGAGGAAAAAACCGAAGAGTGGTATCTACTGCAAGAAAGAAAAATGGAAAAAGACCCAAGCAAATTGCTTCTTTGGGCTGCTGAAAAAAATCGGGTAAAAAATTTTTTTAACATAAAAACCAGTTAAAGAGAAAATCACAGTGTAGTAGGGAACGCACTGATGTGGGGCCAGAGACCTGTCCCGGGCCGCTGTTTGCTTATAACTCTGGGCAGATCCTGTCATTTCCAAGCCTCTGTTTTCTCGCCTGGCAAACTCCCCGTCTTTCACACAGGGTTTTGAGGGCTGAGTGAGGGGAAGTCCAGGAAAGCGTGTAGGAGGCTGCAAGTGTCACATTGCGTCTGACTTGGGGCAACTAAAGGCCTCGGCCCCTCTGTGGCCACTCGCAAGAAGTCATTAGGCCCGTGCTGTGGACAAGCGTGGGGGGAGGGGCCGGAATCAAAACCCACTGGTCCAGCTCTGCCTGCCCCTGACCGCTGCTTCATTCTCCTGCGTCCAGCAGCCCCACAAACCCTCCTCTGTAAGACTAGGAAATGGAGATTCAGGAATATGACTTGCCCCTGTTGTCCACGTAGAACTAGCATCTGAAGGCCTGTCCCTCCCCCTTAGACACGCCTTCCTCCCTTTGCCACGCCCATGTAAGTAAACTAATAATGAAAAAGGCTTGCGTGGGGGTGACTACGCCAGGAGCACACACACCTTACCGGAGTCCAGACTGAAAGGTGCCCCAGAAAGCACATTCCTGAGCGGTCAGCGCTCAGTCCCGAGGTGCCCTGTCGCCGCCGCTCTCCGGTGAGAAGTCCGGCGTGTCGGGCCTCTGCACCACGTCTGTTGGTGTGCCGGGCCTTCCGCGGGAGAATCACCCGTGTGTCCTCTTTACAGGTGGTGTCGGCCACATGAAACAGTGCCAGCTGGTGTCGCTCCTCCAAGGCTGACCCCTCTGTCTCTGTGGCTCTGCTCAGAGATCACAGCCCCCGAGCCGCAGGGCAGGGCTCACGCTGGCTTGTCTGCGCTGACTGCCCTCCGTGCAGCGCCTTACGTCCCCTTCGGTTTCAGAGGCACGTGCTGAGTGACCCAGCAAGCCGAGCACTGCCCGGGGGCGCCCTTGGCCCTGGCTCGGTGGCAGGGGTCTTTAAAGCATCTGCCTTTCTCCTCAGCTCTCCACGCTGCGGAGGCTGCTTTCCGACAGGGCGGGGCTCGTGAACACGAGGGACGAGGACGCATACACGCCTCTGCACCGCGCGGCCTACGGTGGGCACCTGGACGCCGTCCGCGAGCTGGTCGCCCAGGGTGCGGACGTCCACGCCGTGACCCTGGACGGCTGGACGCCCCTGCACAGCGCCTGCAAGTGGAACAACACCAGGGTGGCCTCCTTCCTGCTGCAGCATGACGCGGACGTCAACGCCCAGACGAAGGGCCTCCTGACCCCCTTGCACCTGGCCGCGGGGAACAGGGACGCCAGGGACACCCTGGAGCTGCTCCTCATGAACCGCTACGTGAAGCCCGGCCTGCGGAGCGCCCTGGAGGAGACGGCGCGCGACGTGGCCAGGAGGGCCGGCGCCCACCACTACCTCTTCGAGATTGCGGACGGCTGCACGAACTCTAGCGCCCAGCCTTAGCAGGCCCGCGTCCTGCTGCCCCCAGGGACCGGGAGCCAGGGGCCTCTCGGGACGGGGGCTGGGGGTGTGGCATGTTGTAGTTGTTGCGGTAAATGATTCAGTGATTTCCATGGCGTTGGCGATTTTATCAGAAAGAACCGTGACGCACCTGCCTGGAAAACTGGTCACAGGCTGTGAGAAAACAGGCTGCCTCTGGCGTTCACCCCGAGGAGGGTGTCTCGGGGATTGGTCACTCTGGGTCTTTGATGGGTGAAGCACGCCAACGCCTACAGGGGTGACTCGGGAGTTCCGCATCCGAGGCTCCTGGGGTCCCCTGGCTTTCCTTTTGACATAAGAACTACAGGCTCTACAACAAGTGGGCCTGCACCCTGTCCCCCGAGGGGGGTCTCGACACAGGTACTCACAAAGGGAAGGGACTAAGGCAGTGCCCTTCGGTGCTGTTTTTAAGTGTCCCCCAGAATTTGCCTCGAGTCAGCCCACGGGACCCAGCCCCCCTAGATGAAGTAGCTACGCTGCTCGCACAGACGCGTGCCTGCGGCAGGTTGGGCCGGCGTCGGGTTGGGTCTGGTCGGGAGGGGGATGACCCCCAGCTGAAGCTGTGGCGTGGGCCCTTGGGGCCAGGGGAGGTCAGCTACCCTGGGCTCTGGCGGGGAACGGCGCGGGCTCCGGCCACTGTGACGCGGGGGGTGGGGGGGGCGGCAAAGAGCGAGGCCATTTTATCGAGTCTGGCCCGACTCGTGTGCGACATGGCAGGCGGTGGGATGCGGCCGCGGGACCTGGCCACCTCTCCCGGCCGGGGGCCTCATCCATGCCCCGGTTTCAGGCTGTGCCCTGAGGCAGCGGCCGCGAGCCCACTGGGAAGGCCAGGTCAGGGCTATTGCCCGACGCCTTATGGCAGTGCCTGCGCACTGAGGGGCACCGCGCTCCCGGCCCCCCAGGCTGTGCCGGGAAAGTGTCCCGCCAGGCGTCACTAGACTCCCAGGCGGGAGACCCCATAACCTGACAAGCCCAGGTGTTCACGTCCCGCTCCACTTGATTCCACGGGCACCCCTTAGGCTGAATAGTCACCGGTGCACACTCATAAACTAGAAAATCACCGCTATGACTTTAAGTGCTAAGTATCTTGTTAATGAGGCCATTTAATCACATTCAAAACTAAAACACAATTAGACAGGCAGGTGGCGCAGGCGGTTGGCGCCGTGCTGTGGGGCTGTCCGCGGTGCAGGTTCGATCCCTGGCGGCCTGGGAGATTCCCGCATGGCGCAGCAGACCTCTCCTGTCTCCCTGCTGCTCCCCTCAGCATCCGTCTGCCTGTTCTGTTCCCCCCTCTGTCTCTGGTGAGGCCTCTCGCCCTCCCACACACCTTTTAAAAAAAAAAAAAAACCACACAATTAGACAAAGAAGACTTAAATCCTGAGCACCCTTTAAAGCAACTCCCAGGTTAGGCCTCCAAGAAATGATCCTGTAGGCAACATGAGTTTATTGTAGAGAAAAGGTTCTGCTGGGTGTTCACGCGGATGGTAATCACAGCCTGATTTGTAGTAGATGTAAGCGCTTATCACATTGCTGATACGTGTGCTTTTTGCTTCCAGAAGAACAGAATTAGAAGGAAGAGGGCGTCGGCAGGGGCCAGGCTGGGAGCAGAAGATAATCTCTGAGTGTTGCTACAACCTAGAATTCTTGAAGTGATGGTATAATTTATCCTGGCAATATTTTCGCTTTAAAAATTAATTGCCACTATTTAATATATGCAAATCAGTAAACTTATTGTACTATATCAGCAAAATCAAGGCGTATAATAGATGAAGAGAAAGCACACAGCACCCATTTTGATAAAGACTCTTAACAAGATGGGGATAAGAGAGGGCCCACTCTCACATCAAAGGGGCATATGTCACACACCTGTGACCAGCTCTGTGCTTAGTGATGAAAAATCGAAAGTTCTCCCGGTAACATCAGGAACAAGGCAAGGGGCCCAAGTCACCAGCTCTGGTTAGTGTGAGAGGTGGTAGAACGCTCAGGAAACAGGAAACAAAAGGAATCTGAGTTGGAAGAGAAGTGAAACTCACGATTTGCAGGTGTAACATGCAGAAAACCCAAAAGAGTCCGCAGAAAGCTATTAGAAACTCTAAACAACACAGCAAAGGGGCAGGTTTCACCGTCGTACAGAAAACCACTGCCATTTTTATATACAAGCAATAAAGTAGGAAAGAAATGAATCCCATTCACGATCGCTTCAAAAAGAATCAGATACCTGGAAACTAACGAAGGGGGTAAAGGACTCATATACTGAAAACCACAAAACAGGAAAGGATGTAGATCATAACACGAAGAGATGGACAGATACTCCATGCTCATGGACGGGGAGAATCAATGTAATCAAAACGATCATTGCCCTAATGTGACCTAGAGATTCAGTGCAATCCCCATTAAAATTCCAATGAGGGGCCTCCCTGGTGGCGCCGGGGCTGAGTCTCAGCGCTATCAACCTATCGCCAGCCACTGCGCCTGAGTGTGAACCCCCCCCTCACCGCCAGGGAGCTACCCACAGGGTGCAGCAGACCTCTCCTGTCTCCCCGCTGCTCCCCTCAGCAGTGTGTTTCAGTGGATCCCCCTGCTCTGCTCCCCGCTCTGTCTCTGGTGAATCTTCTCCCCCCTCCATCTCTGGCCTGTACCCCAGCTCTTGTGTGCATAAGTAAAAAGCCCACGCCTGCTTGTCAGCCTTCCCCTCACCAGGCACGCGCAAGTGAGCAGATTTTTCTGGGGACAGTCAGCTCTCCGAGCTGTGGCTGACCTGAGCTCAGGGGCAAGCTTCTGGGCAGTGCCAGGTGGCCATGCACCACTTGGGTATCTCCCCTGAGCCCTGAGAACCTGCCAGGGCTGCCTGTACCAGGGAGGGAACCCGGCAGGTGGAGGGCAAAGCCATTGCCACGCCGGGACTTCAGTTTCCAGAGAGCTCAGCTCACTGAGCTGGTCCACTGCTGACATCCAGGTGCCGCCTTCCGTCTCTCCAATACCCTTAACAACTAAAGCCCCATTTTTCTTAATTCTGTTTTCATGTACTTTATGTACAGCAGTGTTGGAGGACGTGAAGATCACCATTATTAGGAGTAAGTGGCATTCTATGGCATAAATAATCAAAATTCCATTACATCCTAAGAGCCTAAGCGATTTTTTTTAAGATGTATTTATTTATGCACACAAGAGCTGGGGCACAGGCCAGACATGCGGGGGGTGAGAGGGTTCACCAGAGACAGAGTGGGGACAGAATAGGCAGGCTGAGTGAAATCCACTGCTGAGGGGAGCAGCTGGCGAAACAGGAGAGGCCTGCTCGCCCTGTGGGTAGCTCCCCGGCCGCTGGGAATAGAACCCGCGCTGCAGAGGCTGTGGAGCGCTTCATAGTGCGGTGCTTAACCCCTTGTGCCACCAGGGAGGCCCCTAAGCGATTTTTAAAAAGAAAAAGCTGGGGCAGCGGGGCGGGGGTCCAGCCCGGCCTCGGGCTGGTCAGGAAGGTGTGGCCTTGGCGGGTGAGGGCAGGCCCCAGGGCCGCGAGTCCAGAGCAGCCGCACCCACCGGCCAGCTGGCCCGTGACGGGCAAGGGCTTCAGCGGGACGCTCGGGCGGGAGAGCGCTGGGCCCGCTGAGAGCCGCGTGTGGACAGCTGCGCAGCGGCTGCCCGGCTGGAACCTGGCCGCTGGGGTCGGGGAGGGGACTCGTTCTCCCTCTTGAAGGCGGTGGCCGTTTGGCAGGTGACACAACCGGCTTTCCGTGGGGGCCGCTTCCCCACCTGACTCCAACGTCAGTAAAGGTGATTTTCAAAAGGAGGCGTCCAGAGAGAACTCACTTCTGCCTTTTGTTACTCCCGTCACGAGCCAGGCCCTGTGAGGGCCTCCCAGCCGCCTCTGAGGGCCGAGTCCAGGCAGGTCCCGGCGGTCACCAGACCCGGAGGCTCTCGCAGGCGACAGCAGCCGCGAGGCGGTGGCCCGCGAAGGCGCCGTTCGGCAGCAGATGGAGCAGGCAAGTCTGCAGACGCGGCACGGCAGCCAGGAGAGGACCCTGCCGGGCTGTCCGGGGCGCAGGGGGCCGGGCAGAGCCTGGACGGCGCTGGCAGGGTCGCTTCCCCGCAAAGGCAGGCGACGAGCCGGCTCCGGGCCGGCCCACACACGGCTGCAGGGCTGCCCCCGCCCGCCCACCGCCCCGCCTGCGCTGGGGAGTAACGCGGCGTCGGAGGCCGAGTGCACCAGCTCCAGGCGGCACAGGTCTGGTACTGACACCAAGGAAGGGACGGTTTCCGCGGGGGCTGCTGCCACCTGGGGGGCGCGCGGGTGCTCTGCACGCAGCTGCCGGCGCCCCGGGGTGGTGCTGGTTGGTTCACGTTTAGTTCTTTGGAGTGAAAAAGGAAAGAAGGGCAACCACTGTTCCAAGATAAAGCGGTAAACGTAAGCTCGTTTTATCAAGAAGCGGTCGCCGGAAAGTCTGAGGTAACACAGCTGTTTGATGGAGGCTGAGAGAGAAGCTGGGAAGGAGGCGCTGAGAGCAGAGGCCCGGCCGGGCAGGCGGGGCTGCCAGTGCGGCAGAGCCAGGCCCCGTCCTCCAGTCGGCTCTGGGAGGGGGGCATCCTCAGGCGCCACCGGCTCCCGCAAGTGCCCGGTGCTGCAGCGTACCCCAGGCCAGAGGCGGGAGGGGGAGGAGGAGGAGCTGTGGAGATCCCCTGCCTTACCGTAGGCCTCCCCGCACCCTGGAGTGGTCAGGCTCACGGGAGCTAACACCCCGGAGGAGGGGGCCCTCCCGCAGAGGAGACCAGACGGGGCAGCGGCATCCCTCCCGCCCCTGACATGGCAAGCCAGGTTCTCTGCACCGACCCCCTCGGCAGGGGCAGCTCCCCCGGAAACCCGTCCCTCCGGGGCAGCCCCTCCGCCCGCTGGCGTCCAGGCCAGTGTCCTCATTCCCGCTCCCTTCTTCACAGGAAACCCGCCCTCTGGATGCAGCCCGCGCCCCTGTGTCGCGGGGAGACCCGCCTGGGAACTCGCCGGTGCCGCTGAGAGGGCAGCTCTGGGGACTGTGGCGGCTCCTGCCTCCATGGCTGGCAATACCACTGTTGCCACCATTGATCGCCAGTAATTGGATGAAATAAAGAGTGGCTGTACTGTGGATGCTCACAGATAGAGGACGTAAGACCCTCTTCCCCTGTGCGCTGGACTGGTCAGCCAATGACGGGTAAGATCAGGAACAGACCTTTGGTTTGTGACTCCTGACAACCTAAGACAGGCGCAGTCCCCGAGGGGATTTATAAGTGTCCCCCCTTTTTTAACTCTATGGAAAATAACTGCTAAAAGACAAAAGCATTGAGTTTCAATAACCTGCTCAATTTGCTGAGGTCACACCTGTACTGCAAAACTAGTTTGACTGCTTAAGGAACATGCACTAGGAATCTGGTGGGTGTGGGGAGCCTAGAATTAGGTTGTGCTGTATAAACAGTCACAGTAATAACAAAAATAGGTAGGTCAACATAGATCCTAAGTACAAGAGAATTCTGAGTAGCGACTCAAGCTAGGGTTAATTACCAAAAACCTAGA